GGGACTCGGATCACTCAGTGGTATGCGGCCCTCATTAAAGTACTATTAAAGCTCATTTCTGCAAAAGGTTCTGCAGCTGAGGGTGTGTCTAAGTTTGCAGAAATGCCTTTAGGAACGAGACAATTAGACCACATGCAGATTTTAAATCATATGTTAATTTAAAATGAAGATTTATGTGCAGAGACATGAGGAAGTAAAGTAAGCATATGAAATGTAATAGTCTGAATACAGCTTGTTTGCCTTTTTTTAACATGTATGTTTTGCTAAAGTTTCATTCTTATTAGAGCTGCTGTCCCATTTTATAAAATACTCCATCATTTCTGAAATACTCCATGTTCTTTAGATTGAAAAATGTTTGACTTTGGCCTAGAAATGGAATAAAAGATGTGACCTTTGTTCCCAGGAAAGTGTCATACACTTTAAAAATGGGACAATGGGAGCATTTCATCTTTGGATCATTTATGCCATTGTTCTGTTTTCAAATCAGTCAAATCAAATCAAAGATACTTTATTAATCCCAGAGGGAAATTAGAGTTTCAGTACACACAATTCAGAGATCAGACATACATGGACAAGACATTTCGTGGTTCTATTTTTCTCAGCCCTTTGACTGTTTTATTTCCCCATTTATTGTGACTTCTTGTATCAGCTTGGAGCTTATTCCTTCTGTAGGGGATCATCGACAGGAACTTATTTTACTCCATTCTCTTTCCGTTTCCAAATCTGAACTGAGTACAGTACTTGAACGTTATCACTCTGACTGTCGTGATCTGTCTTTTTTTCTTTCTTTGTTCACCTTTAAAGATGTCCTGTCACACCAGCGATTATAGAGATGAGCTGAAGGGACGGGTGGGGGATGGGCAGCAGTGGAGAATCAAAGGCCAACAGAATGAGCAATGAAATCTTTGTTCACACAGCCGGAGGTCCAGCGTGTCAGTGTGCATACAGTGCATACAGTGTGTATGTACAGTCTATGGTGCATACCAGTAAAACGTGGTCCGTACATTTGGTGATGAAAAACAAAAACTCTGATTTAGATAATAGCCACTGCATCATCAGAGGATTGAAACACATTTATGATATGATTCTCTTTTGAGTGTGTATATTTATTATTTCTATCTTCATCCAGAAATGATAAGAAAACTTCAGTTATGAAAATAAACTCCGTAGTTTTATTTGTGTTTAGCTCGATGCAACAAATTGTTTACCACTCTACACTGTTATTCGTGTCCTCTCCTCCCCTTTAACTCCCAAACTCCCAGCCTTAGCTGTCCCTAGCACCATGCCCAGCAGTTTACTTCCACATTACCGCAGCACACAGCCCTGAGCTCTCCTTTTATCCCAGGGGTTTGTTTCTCACATCACTGTGACTTGGCACAGGCTCGTCTTTTCCAAGCCCCCCCCCATTCCCATAGTGATCATATTTATAGTGTACTGTTTTCCTCTCTACTGTCACCTCACAGTCTCATGGGCCGGCGGTGGTAAACAGATATTTACAAAATAATCCCAGGGCGGGTTAATTTGCAACACCTCCCTATTGTCATATCCAGCTCCTTGGGATTAGCCCCGAACAGACAAGGCAGGCCAGTTAGACACCCCCTCCCACCACCAGTCTCTTTCTGTCGCTGCATACCACCATCACAGCTGTGTGCTCTTGTGTAAAGGAACAAAGTGTGTGTTGTGCATTTTTGGTCTAATATTGCCATTGGTATTTGTGAAGTACCAAAGTTGAAGAGCTTCCTTTTTAATTTCAGCTGCGCTGCGTATCTCTGATTGGATAGACTGGATGAGCAGATGGGAGTCCCCCTGAATTCTCCGATATAGTAGACAGCAAAGAGGAAGGCATTTCCTGCTTCACACGTAACTAAAATGTGAAGAAAAATGACTATTAACTAAATAATGTGGGCAACGAGAAGTCCATCAATAACTGTTTCCACTTTGCTGCATTACATAGGAATATTGCATAATCTTTCAGACAGTAACTGTTTAAATACCAGAGCATCAGTTTTAAAGTGCCCACCCTTTGTTTTTGTTTTGTTTTTTTCAGGTTTCTCTGAGAACAGATCATTTAGGATTCAGGCTACTTTAATGTTTTCTGTGTATCTTTGTCTTTGACGCTCCTCTTTGTATTTTATTACACCAAATCAATGGAAAGCACAAAAATTAGTTTTGTTATTCTGCTTTTTTGAAATATAGTGAGATAGTTTATAATGAGGTCTACACAAAGTCAAACATGTTAAATGCTGACATTAAACGTTTTGTTAAATCTAATTCTACCAGTTTCTACTGGACACTTCTATAAACATGGGTGACTTTTACATAAAATAATTTAATTTTTCCTTGATTAGTAAGGGCAGGTAAATGAGTCGTATTTCACTCTTTAAAACGATGGGTAGCGGCTTCTCCATCCTGTGTATCTTGTAAGCTCTCTTGTTCAGAAGCTCTCAATTCCCTGAGCTCAGAATCTCCATAGCAACCACTTTACGGCACTCCCAAGCAGCATCTTGTCTCCAGGGCTCACTCGTCTTTCCTTTGATCACCTGGTTTTACAGCACTGTGGAGGGACATGAGGCTGTTCCCTAGCTTCTCACTCCAGTCTCAGAGGCCAAGAAGAGCAACATGTGCCTTTGAGAGAGAAAATTAAATAGAAAAAGAAGACAAAAAAGGACCAAAGGCAGTGATGTTCTGTGCAGATATAAAGCAAAATAAACATTTTCTGGAAAGTGTATAATAAAGTTAGATGATTGGATGATTGTATTGTCCATTGGTGATAGTCCGAGCCCTTAACCAATTGGATTGTAAGAGCAATGTTTTTTTATTCCTATTAATTAGTCTTGCTGGTGGTACTTTACAAACTTCCCGGTCAATCAGCGTATTTTTTTGCAACACTCTTTCTATGTACATATTAAACATCATTAGAAAACTTGGATTTTAAGTTATTCCATTTAGAGGTCAACCAATATTTGTTTTTCTATTGCAGAAACTAATGCCTATATGTAGGCGACATGGGCAGCAGATGGCCAATATGCACTGCCAATTTTTATGGTCCATATCTAGATATTTTCCACCTTCTTTTCATGCTAAAACATCACTAATAACATCTGTTGATGCTCAAAATTTCTGAAGCTGAATCAGATTTTTGAACTCTGAATTCAACTAACTATTAAATCTTAACTTTAACACCACCCAGTGTTAAATTAAGACACTTAAATAAAGTTAATTTAGGGTATTTATTATGCAGATGTTGAACAGACACATTTAAATTAAATTCCTCATCAGCACTGGGCTGCCCAAGGATGTGCCTGACTTTAAATTGGCTTCACTAAGAAAAATATCAGCCAATGCTGATATATTAAAAAAAACAGTAAATATCGGTCTAACCCTTTGTCACGTTGAGAGGATGGCTTGGACCCAAAATGCAGTAACCCAGGATGACACGAGGCAGAAGTGGATATGAAGTTAAAAAAATCTTTTCATTTAGGAGGCTGGGCATAAATCCAAAAGCAACGCTGGCAAAAGGCAAAACAGAAGCTCATTCATGAGCAAGCTCAGGAGAACACTCGAGACGGACAAAAACAACACTGACAACGACAATGGACCGACAAGAACAATGAGACAAGGGGAGGCTTTATACACTGGGGCTGGAGTGATAGGAGACGAGGAGCAGGTGTGTGGAGAACTGGCACAGGTGAAACCACTTATGAGGAGAGGAGCAGAGCAGGACACCAGACCTGACTGGGAAGGACAAACAAACACACACATACTGACACACACATAAACTCACACACGCATATACTGAGCTGGGGAACAAGAGGCTGGAGCTACAACTAGAGGGGCTGAGGATGACTGGATGACACAGGACCTGGGAGGAATGATTTTAAAAGGGCTACAACATAAGACACATAACAGAGATGCAGACAAAGGACACATGAGGGTGCTAAGAGAACACAAAAGGGAATCCAGAGAGGGATGGAGAAACATTAGGAGGCACATAAAGGAGGGGGCAGACGCAGACCATGACACCCTTATTCCAATGATGAATGGCAATCAAGGATACAACCATGACTGTAAACACTGTAAACACTTTGGTCAGACCACTCGTAAAATCAAAATGTCTGTCTAACCATTCAAAGCCTTGTATCATTGAAAGAACAAAGCCATGTTGGAACAAATACCACCTTTTCACATCCACTGGGATCCAATGAAATTATTTTAATATAAAAGTTGGTCCTCAACAAGTTTTAAGTTCTCAATCCAATATAATGTCCTTAGAAAATTCAAAATTTGCTTCAGAAGTGTTTCTCATCATAACCTCTGGTAGCATGCTTCAAACTTTTGATAGACAGTTTATCTGATCTAGCAGGTGAAAGGTTACCCTTCTTCTGAGAGAAAAGCTTAAACTTCAATAGGTTAGAAGTACAGCACCTTATTCTTACATATGGCTCAACACAGTTGCAGTGCCGTATGTTGTTGATTGATGCATCAAATAGAAAATGAAATTGGCTATAACCACAAAATCTCACATGGACCCCTCATCGCCGCCTTCTGCAAACTGAAAAGAACAATCATGATTGATGGATCACTTTGTGCAATGCACGTCAGGTCCACAAAAAGTCCAGAACTCTCCTGCATGAATATATCGCCCATCGTAATGTTTTGTACTATGAATATCACTTGAAAAAAATTGTTTAGTTTATATATCGCCCAATTTTAAAGTTTATGGATGCAAAAGTATTTGTATTATAAGCATTTACACATGTGATTCAATGTTATTGTGCTCACTTTGAAGTGAGACCAGATGTAAACTTCTGTTGGAGTTTTCTGTTGCTGCTGTTTCACTTTTTGAACCGGTGTCTTTTTGGCAGAATAGCTGATCTCGTTCAATTTTCGTGTTTTTCTTTCTGTTGAAGCAAATTCATCACACAAACTGTGAATATATGTGGTGACTCGACTCCACAGCTTGGTATAACAGGTGTGGTTTTGTTTCTGTATCACTATAGGTCACGCTCTGTGGGGGGTATTGGCAGGATTTGGGCCAGTAGTTGCTCCCAAAATCGTCTCCAGGAATCTCGTGGACGTCACAGACTTTCCACGGTTATCCAGCCACTGCGTCAGAACGCTGGGGAGGTGGTGGATCTCACCGTGGATGAGGATGGTAAATATAGACCGGAATTCTAACTTCCAACTAAACTTATTTTTATTGTCTACTGGTAGCTGTATACATAAGTTCCTCTCTAATCGAGCAGCTGAATCTATGTGGAATTGTTAGTTGTGTACCAGCCATGTGCCTAAAGTGATCTGTAAATATTTGGCCACTAGCTATTTATTTAAATTCTCCTTGCAACAAACTAATTAAACTTTTTGTTAGGTGTTCTTGAGTGTCCAAGTTTTCTATCCATCCCTCCATCCATTGTCTGAACCCGCTTGTCCATGTTGGGTCGCGGGGGGACTGGTGCCTATCTCCAGCGGGCAATCAGGCGGGGTACACCCTGGACAGAGAGCCAGTCCATCACAGGGCAACACAGAGGCACACAGGACAAACAATCATGCACACACACACACACACTCACACCTAAGGACAATTTAGACAGACCAATTAACCTAACAGTCATGTTTTTGGACTGTGGGAGGAAGCCGGAGTACCCGGAGAGAACCCACGGGGAGAACATGTAAACTCCATGCAGAAAGATCCCAGGCCGGGAAGCGAACCCAGGACCTTCTCGCTGCAAGGCAACAACTCTAACCACCTCGTGGCCTCCAAGTTTTCTAAAGGTCTTTTAAGATTGCAGTTAAGTTTTTTAGATAATGGCAGCTTTTAGAGCTCTACTTCAGCCCAGTGATCCAGAATATTTTCAAATTATTTTATTATATTGTTTTCAGGTTTGGTACGCTGCAAAAAAGTACCCAAACTGAAGAAATTAATGTTTACTTTTTGGTACCTGTTGTATAAACATGATTGTTTTTTGGGTTTTTTTTTGTCAGTTAAAGATGATGCTAGGGATGTGCCAGTAACACATTTTTCCAAACCAAGTAGTGCAACATACTTGCCGATGCTGAGTATTGGGTCGTTATCAAAGTATATGTGAACACATTCAGGTTCCCTACAACAGGAAAATGGAAGATAATATAGTTTGAGTCACTAAAAACCTATTTTTGCACTAAAAGCAGATCGGTTTTAAAAGACTTAACTAGTTGATCGTGACATAAATAGCTGGGTTAGCTGAGTGTTGATGAGAGAAAGTTCATTTGTTGTATTTCAATCAATCGATCAATCAATCAATCAATCAATCAATCTTTATTTATAAAGCGCTTTTCATACAGAAAATATAATTCTAAGTGTTTTACAGATTGAAAAGACTCCACAAATGTCATTGACAAATAAACCTCCCTCCCCAGCCCAGTGACATGCACATACACACACACATACCCACATGCACACACAACACAGTTGAGAACATAAGTAAAACCCTGGGCTGAGCTCAGATGAGTCAGGTATGTAAGGAAAAGTAAGGAAACACTATTTCCTTTATAATTTTATAAATATTTTATTATATTTAGTTAGTTAATTTTGGTTAAAATGTGAGCTTTACAATGCCTCCCCCCTATATTATTAACTAGATGATTTTTACACACTGCATTAAACAGAAATACTGAATTATAATCACAGTGGTACAATAAATGGGTCGTATTCATGCCTGAATCAACGACACCAAGCCCCTAAGTTATTGTTGTACAAACATTATTTATAAATTGCTCCTGATCCGAGTTTTTATTTTTCCATCTCTTCTGTTGTTACACAAATACTTAATTTTCTGCAACATTTGGTATTTGTATAAATAAGCCTGACTGGTCCGTGGCCATGATGTAATGCAAAGTGGTGGGACATTGCATGTCTCAGCAGAGGTATGTCCTGATAATTTTTGTAAATCTGAATAGCAAGATGGGTGGCGCACAGTGAGATACTAAGGCTTGTTTCTCAACTACTACACACCTTCAGACAATCACGCACCGTGTTTCCCATTTTAATAAAATAAGTTTTGTTGGTACCAGAGCTGCAGACCTAATAACTTGTATGTATTTTATTTACATATACCTATTTTAAAATGAAATTCACTGAAGTATGCAAATAGCTGGTAATGCTTTGCAAGTATTGCGAAGGGTTTAGTGTGCACAAGTGTGTAGCCCAAGAAGCAAATGAAGAAGAAATGGAACAAAACAAAAAAAAAACACCAGTGATAGCTTCATTTCCCTGTCCTTATTCCATTTAAAAAGTCATACATTATTAAGTAGTGAAGTGGGACCTGCAAATTATGCTCTGTTCGCCCTGATGTCCTATTTGTTCCTCTTCATGGCTGGTTTCACTCTTGTTTGAAGGTAAACGATGAGGAAAAACTGAAATGGTTTTTAAGATAAGATTCCAGAGTTAGGATAATAATCACATCATGATGGAGTCTGTTTATTGTTTGTTGCATTTATATTTAAGAAAAATTGTGAATCACTTCATTGAACCTGGATGGAGTTCAGATGTACTTGTTTTTCTTTAAATATGTTCATGTGTACAAAGAGCTTATACTGAGGTTTTATACTTGAGTCTTTTGTTTTGGTGTACCTGTCATTAATGCTCTTTTGAAACAGTTAATTTGACATTTTTCTCCACAGATCTTTCAGTTGTGCCAACGACTTCTAGCAGCATTCAGGCTCAGACTGTGAGGTCGTCGTCATCATCCTCCCATCGTGCCTCTACCTCTGAGCTCAATGAAGTCCCGGGCCCCTCTACTAGCTGTGCAGGTTTCGTACCTGAAAGTATGCACACGCAGAGTGGTTCTGCTCGCACAGCTGCAGAGGGTAAGATGATATGTAGCACATTGGAAACAATTGTTTTAGCTAATGTTGGAAGCAGCTTGAGATTTCTGCATTTTGTTTCTGTCCATCCTTACTAATGGTATATAATGTTTTGTATCAGACGACAGAAGGCCAGGATTGTCGGGTACAGCCGGAGAAAACTCAGGCACAGCCATGCCCAGACTTCCATCTTGCTGTCAGCAGCACTCCCCCTGCGGAGGCCCCTCGCCTGCTCACCTGACCCTGAGCCACTCCCATTCAAGCTGCCTGCAGGCATCATCCTCTCAGCCACCCAGTGGCCCTCAGCACACCCACAGCAACACTCACCACTTTGTCCACCACATCCATCACCCAGCTCCACAGCCCCCAGGTACTTTACCCTTTCAGGAGCCAAGTTGCCATGTGGAGCGGCCCAGTGCTCTGCCCGCCCCCTGTGCTGGAGTCAGTGGCGGCACCAATAGCAGCAGCAGCAATGCAGCCCACTACCATGACCAGGTATTTTCACATTACTGTAATTTTGCTGTTGTCGCTGATACAATATTAGATATTTACTTTCTTCTTTAAATACCACATTTACTGAGAATCATTTTCACGTTATTTTTAAACGATTGATCACTCACAAACAGGCTGAATGTGAAAATGGTCTTCTACCTCTATTTCCTGCAATAGCCGCCGATTGAAAAAAAGACAAGGAAATGCTCGGATTTAAAAAGCCAGACAATTTCAACACCACACTGAAAATTAGCATTCGTTGACTCACCCATCTTTGCTCATGACACAAGGCTGTTGTTGATTTAGCATCCAGGAGAGAGCAAAGCACATTTCGGCTAGTAGAAGCTAACTATTAGCATTAGCAGCATCACAACACAGCAGGACTCCTTCAGATAAAACATGAACATTGCAGAGCAAACAGAGTTAGTGGTAGCTGCATTGCTGTTAGCCAATCAGAGGCGAGATGTCCACTTATCGGGAAATAACACTCCAAATCCATCCTTATTCTGGTAAATGGCCTATATTAGAACCTTCTAGGGTTCTACCCCCTCACCCAGCAGTTTACAACACAGTCATTCACCCAGGTACACACAGAGTGATGGTAAATGGCCTGTATTTGTGTAGTGCCTTCTTAGGGTTTTATAGCCCCAAGGTGCTTCACAACACAGTAATTTATCCATTCACACCTCACACACACATTCACACACTGGTGGGGTTTAGCTATGATGTAGCCACAGCTGCTGTAGGGAGCATTGACGGAAGCAAATACTGGCTCCACTTGGACCACCACCAGCAGGCAAAGCGGGTTAAGTGTCTTGCCCAAGGACACAACGACTGCAACAAACCGGGCTCAAACCTGCAACCCTCCAGTTATGGGCCGAGCATTTAACTCTTCTGACACTGTTGCCCCCACGGTTGTTCTGGTCCCCACTCCTCTGGCAAACTTTTACTTCCTAAAACCGAATGTGCTTTTATTTAACAGATCGACTCACAAGACATTCATTTAGGCTAGAGACCGCTGCCATTGTGTTGAAAAAATGAGTGAACTGGGTTTTTGACCGCTGTTGTTCCTCCCACAGCAAACCCTGCCAGTGGATCTGAGCAACAGCAGCATTCGAAGCAGTGGAACCAACGGGGCTAGTTTCCATGGCAGCACGTCGGCCTTTGACCCCTGCTGCCCAGGCTCCACCTCACGGCCTCCTGCTTATGTTTCACATGCCACCCCCGGGCCCAGTCAGCCGGCTGTGGTGGACTCGTTTGGATCCTCCATGGTGGCACAGCCGCAAACACAACCTCAGCCCTGCAGACATTACATGCATCCGCCTTGTGAGTAGACGGCCTCTCTGCAGAACAGAAAGCCAGACATTCATCTCCGGTTTAATCCAGTTTACTTAATTATATCAGAATTTCAGGAATTTCCTGCTGCACTGTGATAATTCATTTGTGATGCCATAGCGTTGGTGGAAATAGTACACTCACACACACACACACACACACACACACACACACACACACACACACACACACACACACACACACACACACACACTCCTAAAACCTAATGCTAATAGTAATTAAGAGACTGATGGTTAATGTCCCAAGTGCGGTGGGAGCTGTTCCAGGCAGGCGAAGTTAATTGGTACTCAGAATAATTTAGTATGGAGAGTGAAACCGTCTCACAGGCCTCCTGGTGTAGGATGGATCTGTGGCTGCTGGTTCCACCTTCTCTTCTTGTACCTCGGCCATAAAAGATGATGAAGAAATTAGCACCAAAACAAAAAGGAAAATGCATAAATGAATGGTTCGTGGTTCATTTAAATGACAAACATCATGTTTTATTGATTGAACACAGCATGATGGTTAGATTAGTTTAAGATTTGTCCTAATTTAGAGGACAGAACGGGACTGTTTGGAACAAAAACCGTTTTGCACGGGCGCAGCAGTCATCTTGTTAGTTTCACAAGAACAAATCAACCATTTTCTTTAAATGAAAGTACAGATTCAAAAAGAAACTAAATGGTTTGTTTCTGGATAAAACAAAGAAACATGAATATTTATTAGATGCTCATAAGAAGAGTGTTCATCTGGAGTTGTATCATTCTGTCGCTATAGTCAGAAAGTTGTTTCCTGATTGTTTTCTATGCGTTTCATTTTAATTTCAGACGGTTCCCTAACACGATCGCTGCACCATCAGCCCTCCTCCGCCTGCCCCCATTCCCATGGGAACCCCCAACTGACAGCTCAGCCTCCTCCACAGGGCGACATTTTCGTTCCCCACAACTTTTCCCCACCCTTTCACACACCGCTGCCATCACACCCTCCGGGGCACACCGTGCCCCCCGCCCCTCCCCCTCCCTTGTCCACCCACCACCTCTCCACTTCAAGTGCCCCGCTAGCGCAGCACCTCCCTACGGACCACCAGACCCTGTCGCACCACATGCCATCTCTGGCGCAGCGGCTCCATCAACACGAGATGCTGCAGAGGATGGAGGTTCAGCGGCGGAGGATGATGCAGCACCCTACGTAAGTGTTAGCATCATGATGCTATAAAAAAAAGTCAACTTTTATTTATGGAGCCTGTTTTCCCCCTCTTTTTTTTTCATTGTCTTCCTTTTGCAGGCGAGCACACGAGCGTCCACCTCCACACCCTCACAGAATGCACCCCAACTATGGTCATGGGCACCACATACACGTGCCACAAACTATGTCTTCCCATCCGCGCCAGCCGGAGCAAAGAACAACATGGTCCGTATCGGCAGCAGCCAGTTAGTTTTTAGTTCCACCCAAATTTGTTTTGGTTTAAGTCGGTAATTTAAAAGTTAAAAGATGTTTTAAATGTTTAAATTCTGTTTCCTGGTTTAAAAAGTCACACCTAGTGACGCTTTACTGTTCGCCAACAGGGAGCTTGGCATCGAGGCTAGTGTTCCCGTGGCACCGTACACTTCAGGGCACCTCCACCCCCACCTGCCCCACTATCATGCCCCCCCAAGACTGCACCACTTCCCCATCTCCATCATGGTAAGAGAAACCCTCAGCCCGCACGCTTACGTGATAAGTCTAGCCGAGAATGCTTATTTAGAGCATCGGTTATCTCAAGGATGGTTTTGTAAACGTTATGAATAATTCAGAAGCAATTAGCCGCGGCTCATCAGGCACTTGGAGTGCACGCTCAACAAATCCTGGATCCTTGACTCACATCCAGCGTGTCTTTAGTTTGCAGCTTTGTGATGCGGTTCATCAGTTTTGTAATTAGCTGTGACTTTTACCATCACATGATTACCATGAACACTTTTAGAACCGCATATCCTGATCAGGAAGTCAACATTTATAGATGTTTTTAGAACCGATGATGATTTTCTCTCATCGATGTCGATGCTTCAAAGTATTCAAACTAGGGTTGTCACGGTGTGAAAATGTAACCTCACGGTTATTGTGACCAAAATTATCACGGTTTTCAGTATTATCGCGGTATTTTTTTAACGTGTTGCCTTTTCAGACAACTAAATAAACCCTGTATGTCAGGAAAATATTGTCCTCAGTTTGTGTCTGAATTTTGCCTAAAATGTGTTATTTTGTAATTATGTTGTTTATTTGTTTACATTTTTAGTCTTTAAAATACCAATATTTGCCCATAACTTATTATTTTTTGTCTGTTTGATGTCGTCATTTAAAAAATATTAGATCAGATGATACTCAGTACTCAAGTAGCCTTCTAATCAGATACTTTTTTACCCTTACTTGAGTAATAAACCCTATATCAGGAAAATATCATCCTCGGTTTGCGTCCTTCCAGTGAGCTTTGCAGATGTGGGAAAATGTCATCAGGCAGTAATCATTGTTAAATTCATAATTATTCTCGGAGAGAGACCAACTCTTATCTGCCCCTGGTAGCCCCGTAATGCATAGCGTCATTTCAACATGGGGGTGTCGGTGACACGGTTTATATGCAGGTAGCGGCGCTGCGGCTGCTTTATATAGTGACTCGTTACATTCTCCCTCAACCCAAATCCTCGGATCACGCATTTTAGCTAAAACGCTAACGTTAGCTTGCCTTGCGTTGACTGTAGAGTTGTGGGTGATGGTCACGCAGATGTGTCATGAGATATGAAGCGTTGCTGCCTTTCACAGACACTTTTTCTGCATGTGCTGCAAACAGAATAGCCGTCTGTCTTCTATCAACTGTCCCTCGGCATTCTTCAAATATCCAAAAAAAATGCCCGTACTTCCCACTTTGTCTTCTTTGAGGGATAAAAATGTCCTGAGTGCTGCCATCTCCTCCTTTGGCCATTATTTCAGCTTTAGCTTCAAGAAAGTTTTGGTTGTAAACAACAAAGTGCTCATGTGCTGCCGGCAACTTCAGCAGATGATACGGTGGCTGGTAAGGGTCACCACTCCTACACCGCAGCCACTGTAATCCACCGAGATAAATTTTTTTTTTTAAACAAAACAGTCATTATTAACTTTTTTTACCGGGGTTTACCGCTACACCGGTTACCGTGACAACCCTAATTCAGACTGGACTGTTGATCTTTTCCCTGGGTTTGTAATAATGTGTGTGTTTTTGTATCATCTTTGGTTTCCTCCATAGCACACTGGCATTTCTGAAGTGACCTATCCACACATTAGGTACATCTCATCTAGAATGACTGGCTTTGGAAGAACTTATGAGGTGAGTTTTGCATTTCCCAAAGAGACAAAAACCATAACATAAATGGTTTGTGCTTCGTTCGTCTCCTCTTCTTTTGCTGTTTAATTACCACAAAGATTATTATTAGTAGTAGTATGAAGTTGTCCCAATACTGTCTGCATTTGAAATTTTGTTTTTTGTAAGTATAAGACCAATAAATAAGCTACTTTATCATAACACGTCACAGAAAAGTGTTATTTAGACTTTTGAATATATATTTGAAGGTGTGGTCCACTGAAAAAAAACATTATTTAATAATTATTTCTGATTATAATCAGTGTCTCTGAGTTTTTCATGCTAGCTGACCATGAAAATAGTCTCCTACACCAATGTCCCGTATCAGCTTCTGATATGAAAATAGATGGTGAAACTCTGGGATTTGAAAATCCTGACAGATATGTCAAACTGTCACTTAACATTCATGGACTCACCCATCTTGACTCAAGACGGGGAATGCTGTTGTTGGTTTAGCGTCCATGAAACAGCAGAGAACATCTCAGCTAGTAGAAGCTAGCCATTAGCATTAGCAACTCAACCACACAGCAGAACTCCACCAGGCTTGTGTTGTTTGTGGAGATAAAACATCGGCGTTGCAGAGCAAAATAGTCAGTGGTAGAGCCATGTTTCTGTTAGCCAATCAGAGGTGAGATGTCCAAATATCAGCAAATAAGACTCCAGATCCTGTCGTGTTAAGCTCTCCTCTTATGTGGCATTCGTCTAGTTGCTGCAACAAGCGCATCTGAGACCCCCCCCCCAATATCCAGGCATAGATTCCCACTATAGATCACTGCAAATGTATTGATTTGAAAGGTGTCCCACACCTTTAATGTGATATTTTCTACATTTACAATGTTTTGGTGCTAAAAGTACAAACTCACCTTACTAGAGGCAAAAGCATACAAATGATTATTAGTTATGCATAACTTGCAGCAATTGTTGGCCTGTGATAATTCTAGTATAACTGATTGACGTTATTAAATTAATAGCTCCCCTTGAGTTGGTAAAAGTCTGCAGGTGTAGAGTAACAGTGTGCACGTTTTTGTGTGTGGTTTCCATCAGGACCTGCTGCATTTAGAAGAAAGACTGGGGACTGTGAACCGAGGAGCCTCTCAGGGAACCATAGAGAGGTGCACCTACCCACACAAGTACAAAAAGGTAAGCACTGATCAGCGTCTGCACGTCTAGATTGTTGAACATGTTGGATGTAGTTGTGCATGTCTGTTGCAGCTTATTCTGGGACAGAGCGCTCACTGGTCTTTTGTGCTCCTTTAGAACATTTAATGTTAGAGAAATCCTTTAGTGTTTTTTTTTTTTTTACCAGAGGCTGCAGCTGTGTAGAAAATTGTTGGGGGAGGGGGTTTCCTTCGAGGTTTTCAAATGTATCTAAGCAATCAATCTAACACCCTGCCACCCAATACAGAAGGTGTTGGAGAGAGACATTGACCAACAGTTAACCCCTGAAGCTTGGGCTCCTATTGGGAAAAATATGCACGCAACCCCAGAATCGGTGAGAAAAAACCCCAAACAAATCAATTTGGACACATGTCTCTGCTCATGTACGTTAGATGTTAGTGTTATTTCTGGGGGCTGGGAAATTCGGCTTGTGTGTATGACTTAAATGACTTTGATTTGTTTAGATGACAAAAGCAAGTTTATATTTTTTTATTTTTATGATTTTTATTTCACGACAAAACGACCATTCTCTCTGTTCCCAAATTTTAAGTTTGTTTTGTTGAAGTGTTTGTTGTAAACATAGTTAATTCTTTTGGGGATAATGTGATTTATTTTTAAATCTGTCATACTTTTAATTCTAATTGTTTACCTGAGTAGCTGACATGAATTGATGAGATTACTGACCGTCTGGAACGGCTCTGCTGAAGCTGCTCTGTTGATCAGCGCCGCACATCACAAGTCGTGTTTTTAAATGTTTCTCCAAAACAGAGGAAGCTGCACGGGAAGCAGGACGAAGACGAGGGGGCGGATGAAGACACAGAAGAAAAATGCACCATCTGTCTGTCGATACTGGAGGAGGGGGAGGACGTCAGGTAAATGCCTCCCCTCCCGGGCGTTCGCCCTGATCCTGGCTCACAGGCTTTAGCGTGTTAAATGATGCTCTAAAAGGGGCGTGTCTCTGAGCCTCCGAGCACAAGTGGGATGGCAGATGCAGCCGTTCCACTTTGCTAACATCTTATGGGAATTTTTATCTTTTTTCTTATGAAAAGGATAATAAATAAACCCGAAGGAGTTCTCGTAATCAGCAGAAAATCCCAGAGTGGCTCAAAATTACCTTCCTCATGGAGCTGGCACTCACTCAGGTTTATGAAAACAAATTCTGCCCCCTGTTGGCTCAAAGGTCACCTTGCAAGTGTAAAAGCTGTTTTATGTTCATGCTTTAATAGAAGTGATACTTTATCTGTAATATAAATGACGATTTAGGCAGTTTTTGTTCAAAACAAACTTAAGAATTTATTTTTTGGTAACAAAGATCCAAAGATGATTTATAGGAAGGAAACAAAAGGGGATGTAGTGAAAAGATGTTATTTAAATTAGTAATGCATCAATATTAATATCACTTTTATGTCTGATAACTGATGTTTGCCGATACCGATATACTGACAATAATGCTTCTAAAATCAGCAGATTTTGTATAGAAATAAAATCATTAAAGCTGAATTTACATTATTATGTACTCACATTACACACATTTATGCTTCTTAGATGATTACAGTCACTGTCACATGACTGAACAAATACACACCACCCCCTCACCCTCTGAAACATACAAACAAATGGAGACAAGATGGAAAAATATTGGTTAATATCAGCCCGGTTTTATTTATCGGACCGATACAGATCTGTTAAAAAATACCTAACATCGGCCGATACCGATATTGATGCCGATATAGTGTGCATCCCTAATTTAAATATTCCTAAAAGGCACTTTCTAAAGAGGGAGTTGTGGAAATTGTGATAAAAACCCACAAGCAGTCGTGAAAAAAAGTATAACTGTATTTTCTCTAGTTTTGTTGTTGAGAGCTGAACTGAAGGGTTCCCCTAGTGAGCGGGATTCCACCCAAACATAGACATCAGGTTACAACCCCCCCACCCTCCATCCATTTTCCTACGCTTATCTGGGGTAGCAGCCTAAGCAGGGAAGCCTAGACATCCCTCTCTCCAGCCACCTGGGCCTTCTCCTCCAGGGGAATCCCTCCAGCGTGTCCTGGGTCTCCCTTTAGGTCTCCCCTGGTTGGAAGTGCCCAGAAAACTTACCAGAGAGGCGTCCTAACCAGATGCTCAAGCCACCGCTACTGGCTCCTCTCGATGTGGAGGAGCAGCGGATCAATTCTGAGCCCCTCTCGGATGACTGAGCTCACCCCATCTCTAAGGGAGTAATGGTAAATGGCCTGTATTTGTAAAGCACCTTCTTAGGGTTCTACAACCCCCCAAGGCGCTTCACAACACAGCAGTAGCTCAGGTGGTAGAGTGGGTTGCCTCATGATCGGAGGGTCATGGGCTCGATTCCAGCTCCCGCCAGGGGTATCCTGCTGCTGTGTCCTTGGGCAAGACACTTCACCCAACTTGCCTGTGTTAGTGGTGGTTAGAGGGGCCGACGGCGCCAAATGGCAGCCTCGCCTCTGTCAGACCTCCCCAGGGCGGCTGTGGCTACAAGTAGCTTACCATCACTAGCACTGTGTGAATATGGGAGTGTGTGAAAGCGTCTTTGGGTGTCTAGAAAAGCGCTATATAAGTTCAATGCATTATTATTTATTATTATCAGTCATTCACACATTCACATGCTGGTGGGGATGAGCTACCATGTAGCCACAGCTGCCCTGGGGCGCACTGACGGAGGCGAGGCCTGCCGAACACTGACGCCACGCCCAGCCACCCTGCGGAGAAAACTCATCTCAGCCGCTTCTGTCAGCGATCTCATTCTTTCAGTCACTACCCAAAGCTCATGACATAGGTGAAGGTCGGAACATAGATTGACCGGAAAATCGAGAGCTTTGCCTCCGGCTCAGCTCTGTCTTCACCATGGCAGATCGGTACAACGCCTGCATCACTGCAGACGCAGCACCAATCCGCCTTTCCCTCACTCGTGAACAGGACCCACTTGAGGCAGGATCTCATCCCTGACCTGTAGAAGGCATTGTACTATTTTCTGATTCAAAATTCAAAACCAACCTTTAATTCCTTCTAAAAGCGTTTCTGAAAGAGGATTTGTGGTGAAACCTTTCTGATTCAGTGCCGTTGTGGAGTGTGTGGTTCTGGGATTATCATGGGTGGCAAAAATGGGACTAAGTTGTGTTTTTATAAGAAATCTTTGACTAAAAATAAAACTGTTTTAAACAGAAAAATATATTTAAGCTTTGCTTTGAGTCATGCGAATTAATGATTTTTCAATTTAATAATTCATAGCAAAATAAAAACAAACTTGAAGAGATGTTGATGGAGGAGGATTTTAACCAGACTGTAACCTTTCTAATGTGACCTCATTCTTAACAGCTAATTAGCTACTCAGGGAAACAACATCCTGGCATTCCAATTAAATCTTAACATCTGCACTATTTGAGCTTATTTACCAGGATTAATGGTACATATACCAGTTTTTCTTTCTTAAAAATACTTTTTTCAAACAAGAAACCTGTTTCAGAGGCACTTCCAAAGTCACACTTTAAAGAAAATTGCGTGTTTTCCATTAACTCTGTTCAACCTGGCTGTTTTCCCCCTGCAGACGCCTACCGTGTATGCACCTCTTCCATCAGCTGTGTGTGGATCAGTGGCTGCTCACCAATAAGAAGTGCCCCATCTGCAGAGTGGACATTGAGGCGCAGCTGTCTGCCGAGAGTTGATGCTGTTTTCTTTTTTTATTCTTATTTTCCCCCGAACAACGGTGTAGTTTGTTCAAATGTTTTTTTTTTTTCAAATCATATTAAGTTTCACTTCAGTACTGCAGTCAACCAAAGATGGCATGATTTACCTGCGCAGCTCTACTACCAGAAAACTGTAAAAAAGAATTTAAAAGAGGTTAAAATTTAAAACAAGCATTGAGCCTAGAGTGCCAGCTCTCTCATATTACAACAGCTAGATTTTTCCATTAAGGATTTGAGATTTTATTGTATTTATAAAAGCTTTTAATGTAGCTTTTGATTGTTTCCTAAAGTGTCATTTCTGTTTTTGTTTTTCTGCATGTTTCCTTGCAATGCATTTCTTTGCACATATGACTTGGGCTTAAAAGCGGCCCAACAAGTTGCCGGTTGAGGGGAGCTGCTCTAGTGAGGATGCATTTCTGTAAACCTAATGCCTTGCTTTACTAGAATAGAATGTCAACCTCCAGGTGTTTTTGTTTCACAAACAAAAAGCAAAACATTGCAGGATTCATTTTACCAAGCATTGTATTGATTAGTTTATGTTTAGCAGATGTTGTTAGTGGAAGATGTTCCTACGTAAAACAAGACATTCCTAACTAGGGAAATATGTTAACAGATCAGCTGCTGTATTAGTGCACACCCAGTATTTCTAGAGTGGAAAGTAAGCTCCATTGTTCACTTCTCCCAGAATATGCACATGCTTTGCTCCTGCTCCTTCTTTTTTTATTACAACATCGTTCTCGCCACCTTCTCATGTCTTTTAGGGAGCAAGAAAAATAAAAAAAGAATGTCGCGTTCCTCTCTTGATGGTTCTTTCGAACCTGAGCGATTGTCGGGAACTGCTGAGTCTTCTGTCTCCTGGTGGAGAATGCAGCGCTTGAGCTGATCTCAGGCCTGTGTGTGCTTAAGAGAATTCAGTTGAGCTTGCAAACTGGTGATCATGTTTTTCATTTGAAACAGTAGTGTGGCTTTAGTTTATTCATCTCCTCTCGTTGTGTGTGTGTGCTCAGAGGGGAATACACAGCTCAAGTGGAGATAAATATTTATCGTTTGTTCTCACTTCTCAAACCAGTTCATCCCCCGTTCCCTTTTGTCTCTGTAGTTGAGCAGCAGCCTTCATCTTTGATGCTGTGGAAAGAAAAACACTATTGACTTACTCACTTGCATAGACTTGCACAAGAGAGGAAACGGTAGGAGAATAGTAAGACCGTGCGCTGAGGCCATGTATTTCCACTCTTGATGATGATTTAAAAGAAAAAAGAAGACAAAAATATTTTGAATTGAGTGTTGAAATGCAGTACTTAAAGCAGGTATCCATGCATTCATCGACTTAAAGGCACCAGGATCATATTATGTGGGATTTATATTAGTTTTGAAAATAATATTAATAAACTTGGATAACTCTTGAGTCTTTTCTATTGTAACTATCCAATCAACATCCAAGTTCAATTTGTTTATTTGTTTATTTCTCTTTAAAACATTAAAGCAGCAAGAATACGGTTGTAAACATGTTGGAAGGGCCATAATTATTTTTATTTATCTATTAAAGGCTTACCCATCTGGGACAAAAACGAGCCAGTCGTATTTGCTGTGATTTCTGGGTGTGAATAAATATGAGGGTAAAGAGAGCATAATGTGGAGAAACTCAAAAAAGTTTCCATCTTCCAAACCACTGAATGTCCAAACCAAAACTGCTCACATTGCAGTCTGCATTTTATTGACTTTTTCACCAGAAACCTGTAATAAACAAAAATAAATGGTGGTTTTACTATCTTTTGTTTTAAAATACTTAATTGAAATATGAGCCACTTTTCAATTCAATTCAGTTTTTCTATAGCGCCAAATCACAAGAGTTGTCTCAAGGCTCATCACGTAACATTCTAATACAGTTCAGTTCATTAATCCAATCAGAAAAAAGTTTCCTATTTAAGGAACCCAGCAAATTGCATCGAGTCACTGACTAGTGTCAAAGTCTTTACAGCAGTCCTCATACTAAGCAAGCATTTAGCGAAAGTGGAGAGGAAAACTCCCTTTTATCAGGAAGAAACCTCCAGAGGATCCTGGCTCAGTATAAGCAGCCATCCTCCATGACTCACTGGGGATCGAGAAGACAGAGCAGACACACACACACACACACACCATATATACCAAGTAAGGTTTCTATGGTTACATTGTGATTTCTTAGTAAATATTCAATTTGGCGAGAGATAAACTTTATTGTATTTATCCTAGTGAATCTATAATTAAACAGGTAAACTAGTAGTAGCACATTCAATGTCAAGGAAAGTAAAATACCAGGAGAGGGAGAATGTTTAAGTGGTTAGCAACAGTGTTCAAGTCGATGGTCCCCTCCATGAGTGCACCACAGCTCAGCAGAACAACATTGTAGCTTCTTCTGGGGAGAAAAATACTTAGAGAAAAAATAAAGTTAACAGCTGAAATTGCAGGAAATAATACAGTTAATGAGCAGATTGTAGAAGAAAGTAGTAGAGTGTGAAAAGTGGTCAGTGTATCATCCAGCAGTCTAAGCCTACAGCAGCATAAGTACAGAGATAACTCGTTTTTATCCCAATGGGGTGATGAATGCAGTTTTAAAGTGGTTTTATTCTCTTGCATTTGTGTTGACAATCAGGAATGTCAGAATTTCCTAAAGTTGCTCCTGGTAAAACAAATTCAGACCATCAACATACCAGTTACATGTAAAACTGAACAGCAACGTGACCCACAAGCAAGGCGGTGAAGTTTAAAATAAGTCATGGTTTATTTTCTCTAAATCGACATGCAAAGCAGTGAATTACATCTGCTGGGCAACTGTCGCCCTCTTGTGGCTGTTTGGGACATAGCTACAAATATAAATTGAAATTAAAAAATTTTATAAAACAAATATTGGCTTTTAAATATTTTTGGAAGTAATGATGGCAATTGTAAAATAGACTTGGAAAAACAAATTTTGGCCTGATTAAACATATTTCATATGTTTTGCCAGCATGGTTGTAATTTCACAGCAAGTGGAGCGGCTGAAGACAAGAGAGGGGTAAAATGCAAGAAACTTCTCTGCTGCCTCAACACTTAATGGAATGCTTTTGAAACATTTTCTTGAGCCATCATGTGCTGAAATGACCCTTTACAGGGTTAATGAAGCGTCACTCTGACCACACTGCCCCCTGTAGCCAGAATACCGCTTTTGCAACTCCCTGTTGGACTTGGTCAAATGGAGCTAACATACCTGGTGCTGCAGTCTGCATCCAGCACCTTTCCTGTATGTTTTAGATCATGAACACAGCTGATGTTTTTGATTTAGTGATGAACCACTCCTGTAGACACTAAGGGAGACATTTCAGCAGTTAGACTTCTCCGTCAGCTGGGGAATGTTGCAAAACAATTCCTTTTCTCGACACAGATTGGACATTCTCATCATTCTTGGTGCTTTTGTCAAAATAAACCTGGATGGTTGATCACAATAACATGGTTTACCTGCAAAAGCTCATATCTCTCCTTAAACAGTTCCCTCATGTGTCAAAGCTACATTTCTTTCTAATCTGAATAGTCAGTGCCCCCAAAATGCTTCATCCCTTTGGCATTGTGTGAGTACTGCCATACAAAATGTTTAGATGTTTTGTCACTATGGCAGAGGACCAACAATATAACGGAAAAGTGTAGCCTCCAAGGTTTGGCATCACAGATTGCACTCACACTACCAAGGAAATAAACATTTTTTAATTCACACACAAAGTTTCATAAAAAGAAAACATACATTACAGTAATACAGTAAATTGTATGAAAACAAAGTCTCTACAGTGAGTTATACATTTTTTGCCTCACGCACAGTGCCCTGGCCTATACAACATATAATTGCATCATAGATTACATAGAGTACATACCTGTTTATCCTGCGAAAGGTTTGGATGATGGAGACCGTAGAGTGAGGCACATTAGGCTGCACTCGACGACCTGCCTCTGCCATTGTGAGGCCATGGTTTATAATTGTGTCTACAATTGTGGCCCGAATTTCATTCGGGACAGCACAGTGTCTTCCCGCTCCTCGGCCTCTTCCCCTATTCCTCCACCACGCATTCTCAGTCCTCCTCCTCCTCTTCTTCCTCCTCTTCCTTGAGGAAGAACTTCCCCTTTGTCCGTTTGCTTGACCTTGACTATCCGTGTTCAGAGATCGGACTGGTGTGTTTGGCAGCACACGATCATGGAAAACACGTGTGTGACAGTCCCCGTTCGTTAGTCTAGTTTCACCTGACTGTCATCGATGTATCAAATATTCAAAGAAATTCGTATATGGTATTCATGGTGTTATGTTCTTGACCAATTCTGACAATTGAACAGACAGTTGTGCATGCAAGTACTTACACAATGAAATCATGCTGACATGTTTTGGAGAGAATGATCATTAGACTGAGAATCAACTAATCAGTTTAGATCTACAAGATCTATTCGATTGGAAAATGTGCTAAATGTGGGCTAACTGTATAACTGTAGGCTGCATGTACTTAATAATTTGCAAAGATGCACTGAGACAACTGAGACATGTACTAAGGCATTTGCCATTTGATGAAATGGATGAGAAATGCCATTCTGTTGTGAACATTTGCCAAGAGGTTTGGAGGTTTGTCCGTGTTATTTTGAGAATGTAATTTCTGTCTCAAGAAATGTGCCACACCAATGGAGAAAAACTGTAAAAACATTAACACACAGCGAGGAGGACATAAGTTTTACTTTCGTTTTTACTAACGGACACTAGGGGTTGCTAAAAGAAAGCCAAAACTCCTTAGTATCCCTTTAAAGACACCTAATTTTCCTGTTATGCTGTACTCTGTCTCCTGATGGTCTGAAGACTTTTCACTGAGAGAAACTATTTTCCCTCCATTTGACAGTTTTGCACTCTGATGCAGACACCTGGTGTAACTAGATGCCTAAAATATTTAAATAAAACAATTCAAAGCAGTTAGTGATGTAATTTACACGCTTTTATTAAAATACTCATCTACTGGTATGAATTGCACAAGGAAATGATCAACAATCCAAGTCCAAACTCTTTGATGCACGTCGATGGCAGAAGTCCCAGCGGTTTTTCCCGCTAACGTGGTCATGTGACTAAGAAATGGTCAGGTTCTGCAAAAGCAAAGCAAAATGTGCAGAGACCAGAAGCAAAAGGAATTGTGCCACATAAAAAAAAAACAATAAATTTCCCATAAAAACATTCGCAATTAAAAAAAAATATCAATTCACCTTAATTAGTGATTAACATTACCCGGCTGCATGCAAACTGGAAATTAAGCAGCCATGTGGGTTTTAAGGGTTGAGGGGAGAAAACAAATTATAGTAATACACTTCTGATGATAAAAAATATTAATTTAAGTTCCAGAACAACAGGCATTTTCCTACATATGAGCAGATATACAGAATCAGGTCTAAAAATGCCCGTTTGTCATGACTTCATGTAAACAAATTCATCTCTAACTAGGCTGACTGCCTGTCCTTCATAGACTTTCTGGCTGTGAATGAGCGATGGTGTCCGTGTCCAAGGTAGTACCAGTACCAATAAAGTGCTAACACACCACCAACAGCATGCTCAGGTTACAGTTTACCATCATCTAAAATATACTGGTGTCATCAAAAAGCACAGACACAACAAATTACAGAAGGAGGAGCTTTTCCAGGTGATTCCCCCATGCAGTGTCTTCTGACGGACTTTGGTCTTTCTTCTACTGATATTCACTGAGTTCCTAAAATTACCGTTTTCCATAAAAATAAATATATTCCCGGTAAAATAGATGTTGATTTTTTTTTTTTCCACTGATGCGTTTGCGTCAACAGTCACCTTAAAGAAATATGTTGAGATTTTAAAAGTATTAAGTAATAAAATCACATCCTGGTCCCAGAGATTTAGCAGATTTCATTTCAATCCTCGGCAAAATATAATGAAGTGAGTAAAAGTAGAATAAAGAAGTCTATAAATACAATAAATAGTTTGTTCAGAACTCAAAGGGGCCGTAGAGGGAAATGGACCCAACAGTCTTCTGGTCTTCAGCCTCATTTCAAGTCCGACGGTCGTTTGGTCTGATGGTGTAACTGACTGTTACATTCATTTGGTAGAAGACAGTAGTAGAAGAAGAGTCTCACAGTGTTCCTCTAGCTGTGGGCTCTGTCCCGTCCCTTTGAGACAACCAGCAGGGACACTACTGGTCCATCTCATTGTATGGAAACCCATCCCCTCCTAGATCTTGGTGACATAGTTGTTGGGGAAAAGTCCCTCTTTCCCGCGCAGTCGTCCCGTCCACCATCCAGATGCATCTGCTCAACAAACACGACCACTTTAGTGTCAAGGTGAATGGATAAAAACAGTGTCAGATGTTCCCACACTTACCCTCTTTGATGATATCTATGATGTCCTCAGGGTTGAAGCTGAGCTCGTCTGTGTCCTGAGCGTCGTAGACGTACAGAGCTTTGCACTGGGGCAACTGGGGTTTTGGTTTAGGTGCTGGTTTGGGCCGTCCTCCTCCTGGTGTAGGCCGGTTGGCCGATGTTCGGTGATTCCTGATGTAAAACAAGCAGAGGAAACCACAGCTTTGAGGATGACTGGGCACCAACAGGTTCAGCTTATCATGAAACTACAGCGAAATGGGAAGATTTACGCCAAAGTGGGCTGATTTCCCACAGAGGTCAAGTTAAACATAAAGTATGTCTTCAATATTTCAAGTGAGATTCATTTTTGTTACCAAGTTTTGAAGTTCCAGAAAACACAACAATGGTACAAGAGATGTTAGAGCCAATGACGAGTGTGTAGCGATGCACACAGAGCTGTTTAAAAGGTTTCCAGTTGGCGTGGGTCAATTTTTAATTACAAAGAAACATAATGTTCTTATTCCAACCAAAAGTATTAATAAAAATTAAGGATGCACTAATATTAAAATGTTGGCTGATATCAATGGTAAATAGCTTGTATTTGTATAGTGCCTTCTACGGTTCTACAACCCCCCAAGGCGCTTTGCAACACAACCAGTCATAAACCCACACACACACACACACACATTCACACAGTGATGGCAACAAGCGACATCGTGGCCACAGGTGCTCTGTGGCGCACCGATGGAGGCGAGGCAACCGAACACTGGCGCCACCGTTCCCTCCGACCACCACCAGCAGACAAGGCGAGTTAAGTGTCTTTCCCAAGGACACAGCAACTGTGACACACTGAGTAGGACTTGATCCCACAACCATCCGGTTATGAGACAGGCACTTAAATCCTCAGTCACTGTGGTTAGTATCCTATATGGAGATGCTGTTGTGTCCGATGACCAATATTTATCGATGCTAATTCTTAAAATTATTTCACAGGAAGTTTTCACCCATTTTTCAACCACAAGAGGGTGCTGCAGCACCAGCTGTCTCTGCTGGAGGATCCAAAACCGAACAGGACGTCATTTTTAAATCAACCTTTTAATCCCAATTAAGAGTTCAATACTCAGATGAACGAGAATCAAACAAGCCAGGTTAGAGGACGACGCTCACTGAAATGTTATAAACGTGTTTGCTGAATTAGAACGAAAACTTCTCATCTGTGCTAAAAAATATTTGAATTCAAAATTGAGCCAATGGAAAAGTTGCGCAGCAGGAATTCATCCACAGCTCAAACCTCTGATGAATTTTCTTAAAACCTCATTAAATATTAGTTTTCCACCGTGGTCAGGAGTTGGGACAGAGAGGCGTTAGTGTGTGTCTGCTGGTCATGAAGCACCACACACCACCCTGCTAACGTTTCAACTCAAAAATAAAAAAATCACCCCAGAAACAAACGCCAAAGGTGTTCCAGTGGGAATCTTTTTGATTATTCAACCTGAACTAAGTTAAACGCAGAACAACGTTCATGTTTTTCAATGAGTTTAAAGGCCAACGGTTATTTTTGTTAACTATTAATCAATTTGATGAATCAGTAACCCAACCACCTGGATCCTTGGATATTTTCAGAATGATATGAAAGAAACACTAAATTAGGATATTTTAACAAATTACACAAATAGTCCTGTAACGTCCCTCTGTTTCCTCACTGACCAGGCAGGCTGCAGCAGGGAATGCATATGGCAGTCCCGTTTGGTTGAGAGGGTGCTCGCTGCAGAACCACAAAGGCGGAGCTGCACCATAAGGTGGAGCTGCACCAGAGTCAGCCCCGCCCACTCACGCAAACAGCCTAGCCCACTGAATTCTTCTGTTTGTTTTTTGTTTTTGTTTTTTTGTTTAAATTTTATCGCAAACTAACCTGACCCAAATGAATTACGGCTGTTATTACTTTGCAAATGTTAATGCTATGTTCTATGCTCCAATTAAGCAAGATAAATATAACTTGCTGCATGACAAAGCCTGAATATATCCCGAAATGAAAAGGTTTCTTTTAGCGAATATGTCCATAGCCACTCCAACAGAACCAGCCTAGAAGAGCATTTAAGGACAATCGTCACACTTAAATTTTGCTTTCCCCTCAGCTGATGTTGGTTTGACAGCTATCTATTTAGCCAGCTGAAACATTTAATTTGTTTATATTTTAGTTGTAATGTTTATTTTCTGCAAAATATTTATGTCTCTAAAAGTTCTTTGAATTTGGTCGTTCCTAAACAGCATTTTGGTTGAAACTCTGCTCACAAATGGACTCACACTGGCTAAATAAACAAATAAATAGAAAAACAAACACATTAGTCATTATATTGTAAACGGTATACCAATAAATGGTTAAAAACATAGTACTGGCAAGTGTAGCTAGAAAAGAAGAAAAAAGTTTGCGCCGTTACCGGGAGGCGAACCTGCGCAAAACTACATACCAAGCTGACTCCATAACCACTTCACCACTACATCTGATAACAAGCAAGTGGTGTCACATGTAATTGTGCCATCCAGTGTGTTTTTGTAGATGGGATGTATGGTTTTTCTAGCGGTGTCTCAGTAGAAGTCATTTCAGAGATAATTTGTCAGAAAATTCACAGAATATCCAGATTTGAGAACCAAGACCAAACCCGCTTCGGAAGAGAGGACCAAATTGAAGCTGAGATGGGATGAAAATGTGTGAATGAGGCCAAAAATGGCTTTGGCGTGTTTCTTATGAGGAAATGACAATATAACATGATAAAAAGTTCCAAAAGTTAGATTTTTAATTATATGGAACCTTTACAAAAACTGTTCAGTTAACCTCTCAACTCAGTCCTCAATCTTGTATTTTAGATGATACTAGCTATAACACCCTCTTTGGTTCCAGAATGCTTAAGTCTGACAACTGGAAGGAATTGGACCGACTCTGATGGAATGGGCGGGGCTGACTCTGGTGCAGCTCCGCCTTTGTGGTTCTGCAGCGAGCACCACTTGGTTTGGTTTGGTGAGGTTTCTGGTGGGTTTGTAATGATGATGCCCTAAAACTTTTATTCAAAGTGACATTCTGCCCACAAGGATGTGTGTGTGTGTGTGTGTGTGTGTGTGTGTGTTGTTGTGTGTGTGTTCACGTTTATCATCCTCCTTTTTAAATTCTAATACATTAAAGGGAATGTTATTTAGCTGCCATCAGCTTGCTTTACTCGTCCATGTTTCTGACTGTAAAGAGTTTTGTTGTCCAGGAGTAGAAAAGTTGCATCAAACACTCACCCTGCAACTCCCTGCTCAGGGACTTTCAGACAGTCCAAGTTTGACTGTTTCCGGGTGCCTCCTCCTCCTTCTCTCCTTCCTCCTCCTCGCTCCTTCACCTGGTAGTTGTTGTTGGGCAGAGAGGTGTGTGTGGAGTTGTTGGGCGGTGGACGTTGTCGCTGGCTATGATGCTGCGAGTTCCTTTGATTAGCGACGCGATTGTTGTTTTTCAGGCTGCCGTTCTGGTGAGCGACTGCAGAGGGAGAGCGCATGATGATGAAAACAGAAGCATACGGTAATATGCTGGGATTTGCGACCGCGGTACCTGGAGGTCCCGGTGCTGTTCGCGACGGCGTGTTCTGGCGGGATTTGGACACGTTGGAGCGACTCTGGCCGAAGCTCTTCCTGGTTGGACCTGAGAAATAAAACACTCATTTAAGGAAATCTTCTTGGCTCGCTGATGAAATGTTTTAATGAGACGTGTCCACACCAATCCCCAACTTGGATGCTGAAACCAGCTTGATGCGCAAGCAGATCAGAGTCCGGGCTCTGGGAATACTCACGGGTATTCTTGGGAAGCCCCGGTCCAACGCTGACCTGCAGAGATTTGCTGGAAGGCTTCAGCACGGCCACGTCTCCCTGACCATGCACGAAAACCAACTGCCTGGAGCTGCCTCCGCTCAGGAACCCCCAGTTCTCCTTCTTCAGCTTCATCTCCAGTCTGGAAATGTCATTAATACTTTCACCATATTATGTTGTCATTAATTTAAACATTATTATATTTATATTTTATCATACAAGTGTTGTGATTATGTGGTTATTTATATATTTAAATGTAAAAGTAATTTCTTGCTCCACTAAATAGAATTTTAAACCCATGTTGTAATCGAGTGTCTGTTAGGACTCTTTGCTTCGACTTACGTGTTGCTAAACTTGAGTGGAAGCTTCCTTTGGGTTTTCTCCTCGAACCTTTGGCTCAGCAGGCTGACGAACTCCGTTTTAAAGACACACTCCAGCAGGCTGTCATACTCCTGCTCGTGCAGGATCATGAAGTCATCCTGCAGCGTGCTGAAAAGTTAACCAGTGACATTAGAAGTGGTGAGATACAAATTTGGCAAAGACTGCAGTCATTCACACGAATGTTTAGGTTTATTATGGAAGCCAAGTGTTAAGTTTCACTTCAGTAGGAGGGAGGACAGCTTTCACCCTGAAACTCACACAAGAGGATTTTGTCCTTCCTCATGAGGTGGTTTCTGTCTGATGACTTTTTTTTCTTCCTTTTTACAACTCCTGCTTTCTCTCATTACACCACCTGGTCCGTATTACACCCCCCCCCCCCCACCCCCCCGCCGACTTAAAGGCCACATGCTCACACCAACAGCAACAACAAAAGTATTTTGCTCGCTTTTAAGGGTTTTTAGATGTGTGTGTGCTGGTCCGCACACACAAACATGCACAAGTAGTCGCGACACAACCCACGTTTTCAGGAACACGGAAACTTTAACTCCAAGCTCTGGGTTTATTGGGACATCCCACATCAACATGGTCCTAATTTTAGCAAGGCAGTAGCAGACTTATGAGGCTGAGCTGTAAAGCAGCAGGAACCGAAGCTAAATGTTGACTTATGTAGATAGGACCAGATTAGATTGTATTTGTTTGGCCTGTTTGTTGTGGTCATTAATGATTAAACTACTGCGAGATCAGGTGGTTGAACCAAAAGGGGAAATCTAAGATAGCTTCTGTTAAGATCGTACAGAGTAAAATGTGTCCCAACATCACGAAGAGGCGATGCCAAAGCAACAAGCTGAACTATGCAGGATTCAGGACTATTTTCTCAGCGAGATGTGTATCTAAAACCCATCATGTACCTGAGCGATACGGCCGAGAGTTTCTCCACATCGATCTTCCTTTTCACCACCTCCATCACCTGACCTTTGTCCGGACCTTGTTTCACCTTCTCTCTTCCAATCATGTACACAGATTTAGGAGTCAATATCAAGTCCCTCTTAATTCCCTGACAGATGAAGAAAAAAGACACAATATTAATTTGTTAATTATTCGAGAAATATTTGTTACTTATTCAGTGGCACCCCAAAGGGGTGACCACAGGTGGCCAGGGCCCTCTTGAACATTTTTGGCCACCCTGGTGAAGACCTCTTCCACTTTAATAGATCATTTTCACGTTCACACAAACTTTACATTCATCTTATTTAACCATGGCATAAATGTAAACCCCAATAAATAAATAATGAGGAAATAAATAAATGTGTTGCTGCTGTGTACCAAAAGAAGTATAAATATTAACAGTTTTAGTAGATGCTGTTGTTAAGAAAGCAAAAGTTAAATTAAAGTATTCAGGGTTTTTTTCTGAAATGTTTATCTGCTCTAACTTGAGGTGAATGTTTTGGATACACATTGTTCAAAGGTGTGGTTATCTTATTTAATCATTACATTTGTAGTGGTCTCTAGCAGAAATAAATGCCTTGTAAATCATTATCAGAGGAAACTATATACTGGTGCACCATTGCCAGGAACTGAAGCAACCCACTTCACAGCTGAGCTTCAGACGGCAGGATTTGGAGTCTTATTTTCTGATATTTGAATATCTCACTCTGGATTGGATAACAGCAACGCAACTCTACCACTGAGTTGCATGACATGGATGTTTTATCTCCACAAAAGGAGTTTTGCAATGTTTCGGAGTTGCTAATGCTAGTGGTTAGCTTCTGCTGGTCGGCATGTTGTCTGCTTATTCCTGCAACAACAGCCTTTCCTGTCGTGAGTCAAGATTCGTGAGTCCAGGAATGCTAATTCACAGTGTGATGTAGATCTGTCGGGCTTTTCAAATCCTACCATTTCATCGTCAGAAGCTAACGCAGGAGATATATGTAGGAGACTATTTTCATGTTCAGTCTGCATGAAAAACTCACAGTGACCAATTATAATCAGAAAAAATAATTTAAAAAATGTTTTTCAGTGAACCACACCTTTAAAGGGACTATAAGGAAGTTTGACAGTCAAAACATGTATAGAAATAACACATTTCTTCTTCATACATTCTCCTGCAATGCCCTGGTCCTGTAGAATGAGCCCTGGCATTTTTACTGTGATTGCCTGTTTTTCTGTAAAATCACAGAAAAAGAGAGATGCTCGGGTCGAGCAGGCTGCTTCATGTGCGTTCACGCTCGGGCATCGCCCATAGCATTTGCTATCCATAGCTTTAGCAGCAGAGAGAGAGGGAGTGCCAACTCAGCAACTTTGTCGCTGTTCCAAACGCCTAGTGACAAATCTAGCTACATTTCTGAGGACACTTACTTTCTGTAGAACTTTCTTCTAGATATTTCCTGCAAATTAGCAACAAAATAGCCATTTTCGCTCCAAAGCGTTTGTTGGATTGACAGTTTCAGCTGTCATCAAGGATATAAATGTTACAGATAGACTGAACGTCACTGGTACTTTAGCTCACCTAGAAAGATGTCGGACTCTCATGTAAAAGTCTTGGGTTTGACTCCAGGTGCGAACATAATTTATTATTTGGAGTTTCTTTTTTACATTAATATCATTTTTTACAGTAATAAGACACCCAAATTTTTATTTGAGACTCGCTGAAAGGCATTGAATTCACGGATAAAAAAGATGTGGGTTCAACTTTCATTTTGGAACATTTTTTCAAGCAAGGGAAAGGAATGATCTGAGCATGGAGGAGGACTGACCCATCATAAACCTTTGCCGGCTGTGCTGAAGAGAAAGGTACAGAACCAAATTATTTAATTAATTAGCTGCGTGTTCTCCTGTCCTCTGACACACGCACACACACTGCAGATGAGAAAGTGCAGCTGCAGAGACGGAGGCGCATTATTTTTATTAATTTGCTGTGTTCTTCTGTCCTCCGGGCCACACACACACGGGACTGTCTCAGCTGTTATTTTCGTTAAGGAGTGTGCATGTACAGCATGTGCACCTCATGCACAAGCTTACTTTTGAAGCTGCAGTTACGCGTTAGGCCTGAGTGGCAATTGTGAGCGTAAAAACTTCAAACTTCCTTACAGTCCCTTTAATGACAAAGAACAAAGGAGCATCCAGTGCACAGCTACAGGCTAAATTACTGGAAGGACCAACTTGTTTTGCCACTTATATGAACATTTTCTGGAGGCTCCACTGTAATTGGGGAGAGAATAGAAAGCGCTGAGGAAAGCAAACCTTGAACCGGCGGTCATATTTGGTGACCTTGTCAGCAAAGTCGATTTTTTCTCTTTTGCCCAAAAACTGTCGAAGCTCCGGTCTGTCATCCATACCCAGGTAGTCGCCTACAAAGTTTCTGTTCAGGCTGTGTCGCCGCCTCTCTTTTCGGTTCAGCAGCAAATCAGAAGCTGGTAAAAAGCAGAAATTATTCAGGAAGGAACAAAGATGAAATCTTGGCAGCAAAAAAAGCAGCAAGCGGTTGCTTCACTCACCTTCTTCCCTCATCTGAACATACTTCTTACGAGCAAGATATTTCCTCCAGGCCTTCTGGATGGTCCTTGCGTAGCCATCGAACTTCCGCTCTCGTGTCTCTTCTAGGAGGAAAAGCTGCAACGCAAAATAATTTGGCAAAACATTCGGTAATCACACACAGACACACCTAAATGCACTGAATGGAAGGCATGAACGCGGATTAATGTTCTGAAGATCACACAAAACCGGTTCAGTTTCAATGAGGATCATTCAAATGCTTCTAAGTGTAAGAATCAAGCATTTCCTCATGAAAATGACAATGAGACAGTCAAGCTGTTGCCGCCCAGCAGAATAAATCCTCTACCCTTGACTTGTTTAAATAGGGCAAATTTTTATTTTATTTCTGAAAACATTTAGAATTAAAAAATGCTCCATGAATGCAGATGTATTTGCACATTTTTAATCATGATGAGAAAGCAAAAAATATATATACAAAATTTTAATGCTACACCCATCCTCGCTGGAAACCACTGGTCTGTACTGGTCTGTGCAATTAACTCTGTGCCACCAGTATAAAGTATGTCATTTCCTGTCCGACCTCCTCGTCTGTGCCAGACTAAACATCCTGTCCATAGCTGACACGGGCCTGGGATCAAAAAGGATCACCACAAGCAAGCAAAAGCACAATATGAGAACTCAACCATCAACAACACACACGCACACGCACACGCACACGCACGCGCACGCACACACACACACGCACACACGCACACACGCACACACGCACACACGCACACACACACACACACACACACACACACACACACACACACACACACACACACACACACACACACTTCTTCACAGTGTTTAATCAGCCTAAAAGCTGAAAAAAAAAACGAGCTCACATCTGGCCGGTCATCTAACAAACTTCATTTGTCACATCCTTCAGAAAAAAAGGACCCATCACTCCTTCATCTAATTAACTGGTGTCAGTGTTTTATCAGACACCGACTTGTTTTCACAAGCCTGGCAGCTCATTTCAGCCATCAGCCCTGTGTGATATTTGTGTTTTATTAGGGCATCTCTGTGACTTGGACTCTTTCAGGGTGGGGAGACGGGTGTATGGCAGCATTCAAGATCAGCTGTTTGGTCTGAATTAACACTGAGACGTCTGTGTGAGCTTATAAAATGTGTGTGTGTGTGTGTGTGTGTGTGTATGTGTGTGTGTGTGTGTGTGTGTGTGTGGTGTGCGTGTGTTTCTCTGCTCCTGTCTGATGTGTGTAAACGGTATTAAGTGGGAGTGCAGGCGTTCACACAAGTGCTGCTTTCACGAGGAACATGAAGACAAGTACTGTAGCTGTGGCAGAAGGAGACGAGCTTTAACCAACTCTGCAGCCACAGGCGGAGGTTGTGTTTTAGTTTCAGAGCTGTTGACTCACTGATGACGTGGACCAGGGGTTGGGTTCAATCTCCTCCCCTAATGCAAGCACTCAACATGATTTGGTACCCTGTTGCCTTTTATGGTGTTTAGAGTAGTTTCTTGAACACGAAACACATTTTCCAGGAGATTGTGACCAGTAAAGACAAGTAAAACCCACCGACTCGGGGGCTTTGACGAAGATCTTGGTTTTGCCAAGCTGGAACTGATCTTGGTCCATGTTGACTGACCGTAAGAGGTGGAGGACACCTTGTTTCTCATCTCCCCGCCATGTCGGCCAGGACTCTATGGTCAGGATGGCGTACCTGAGGACCAGAAGTCACAACCATTGGCTAAACTTAATAACCGGAGTTAAAGGTCGACCGATGTTGTTTCTTCTATTGCAGATACCGAAGCTGATAGGTAAAGGTCAAGGTCAGCTGATGGACGATTTGTGCTGCTGATATTTTCATGGTCGATACCTAGATAAATTCCACCTCACTTTAATACTAAAATGTCACTAATAAACCTCAGTTGATTCACAAAACTTCTGAAACGAATCAGCTTTTAAACACTGAGTTTAACCAGCTGCTAAATCTTAATTTTGTGCACTGCTCAGTGCTTAAATCAGACATCTAATTAAAGTTAATCAAACAAATTAGTAAACTGACCAAGAATTAAATATTCAAAACTGCTAAATTATAAATTTTTAAATGAAAATCATTTTGGAGCATTTTAAGCAGATGTTATTCAGGATTTTAAATATACACAATAATGTAATATACATTTAAATTACCTTCTGCAGCAGTACTGGGCTGCTCGGGGATGTGCCTGACTTTAAATCGGCCTTACTAAATGTTATATATCAGCCCGCTATATCGGTCTACTCCTCATTGGAGTGTAAGATCATATAAATCTGAGGTGTGCAATACCTGTTGAGGAACTTCCTGAAGATTCTACGGTAAGCGTAACCAGCACGCCTCACCCTGATGTTCTCCTTCAGGCCCAGATACTCCACCTGGTGCTTCACTCTGAAAACAAAAAAAAAAAAGATTTTTTCCACATTGGATGGAGAAACCACGCCTCAGTCCAAGTTTTTTAAGGTCGGTTTATCCTCATTCCTCAGTGGTTTCTCCTCCTGTTCCCTCCATAAGTGGTTTTTACAAACACTGTGGATCTAAACCCGCTAATTTACGTCCACTAACTCCAGCTGTTTCTGTAGTTTCTGATTCCTCCACCTCACTCAGCATGGCTCTAACACCCGCTCTGTTAACAATAAGTCCTTCCTTCTCAATGATTTAATTCTCTCTAAAAACCTGGATTTTCTGTTTCTGTTTCTGATTATTCTGGTCTGATTGAACTCTGCCCGAGTGGTTGTTCTTTTCTTAGCCAGCCCCGGGGTTCTGGTCATGGTGGAGGCCTAGCTGTTGCTTTCAGAGACCATCTTCCATGTAGCTCTACAACCTTTGGTCACTTTGCTTCCTTTGAACTGCAGCTGATTAAAGTCGGGCGAAAGGACCCGTTCTACTGTGCTGTGGTCTATCGTCCACCTGGTCCAAACAGTTCTTTCCTTCAGGAGTTTAGTGACTTTCTATCCTCCACTGTGAAGCTGTCCAGACTGGTGATTGTTGGTGACTTTAACATCCACTCTGATCACTTTGCCATGAATTTCTCCAGCCTTATGGACTCCTTCAGCTTGACCCAGCATGTTTCTGGCCCCACACACAACAGGGGGCACACTCTAGACCTTGTTTTTACCCTGAGTCTAAATGCTGACAGTGTTTGTCCTGAGGACGTTACAACATCTGTCCTGTCAGAACCAGATCAGTTCCTGCAGTGAACCCTACTCCCTGGTTTACTGACAGCCTTCGCAGCCTGAAGCGCCAATGCAGAAAAATTGAGCGTTTGTGGAAGAAAACCCATCTCCACGTCCATCTGCTGCACCTAAAGGATCTTCTGACATCCTTTAACTCTGCAGTCAGAGACGCCAGGGTTTCCTATTTCTCCAACCTGGTGCCCCAGAGCAAAGGGAACCCCAAGGTGCTGTTTAACACCATCAGCAGTATCGTCTCTCCTGCCTCTCCTACAGCCTCCATCCACTCTGTTGCAGACTGTGAGAACTTTCTGTCTTTCTTTGTGGACAAAGTCAATAAGGTTAGATCTAGCATCTCTCCTTCAGCCTTATCGCCGCCTCTCCCGACTCCAACCAGGCCCATCATCCTAGATAGCTTTGCTCCTGTTTCTTTGCCTGAGTTAACCAAACTAGTTAACTCTATGAAGACCTCTGCATGCCCCCTCGACATCTTACCCTCAACTTTGTTTAAAAGTGCTTTTCAGTCCATCGGTCCCAGCGTGCTCTCTATAATTTATGCTTCTCTGGTTTCTGGTCAGGTCCCTGCTTACTTAAGAACGCTGTAATCCACCCGCTTCTTAAAAAACCGAGTCTCGACCCCTCTCTCCATAGCAGCTTCAGACCCATCTCTAAACTTCCATTCATCTCCAAGATCTTGGAAAAGGTTGTGGCTTAACAACTCACAGCTGCTCTTGATGAACATAACATCTATGATAGCTTAGTCAGGTTTTCGTAGAGCTCATTCTACTGAAACAGCTCTTCTTAAGGTCTCTAATGACCTTCTGACTCACAGTGATGCAGGGGACTGTTCTGTTCTGGTCCTGCTGGACTTGACTGCAGCCTTTGACACTGTTGACCATCACCTGCTACTGGAGAGGCTGAGAGACTGGGTAGGCCTATCAGGATCTGCTCTGGAGTGGTTCTCCTCTTATCTCTCTGAGCGCTCTTTTTCTGTGGCCGTCTCCAAGTTTAGGTCCCCCACCACCTCCCTTACCCATGGTGTCCCACAAGGTTCTGTGCTGGGGCCTCTGCTCTTCCTCCTCTATCTGCTTCCTCTTCAGCACATCCTGAGCTCCTTCAAAGGAATCTTCTACCATCTTTATGCAGATGACATCCAACTGTACATCTCCTTTAAGCCCCATGAGATGTCTAAGCTGCAGCTGTTACACACCTGCTTAGACTCTATCAAAACCTGGATGGCTGGGAACTTTCTACAGCTGAATGAAGATAAGACTGAGATCCTCATCTGTGCCCCAGACAAGCTGGTTCCCAAAGTCAGAGACTCTCTTGGTCAGCTTGCTTCTCACATCAAAACCTCTGTCAGGAATCTTGGCATGACCTTTGACCCAGCTCTCACCCTGGATTCTCATGTCAGTTCTCTTGTTCGCTCTTCCTTCTTCCATCTAAGGAACATTGCTAAGCTGAGTCCCATTCTGTCTCGCTCTGAACTTGAGACAGTTATCCACACCTTCATCTCCTCACACTTAGACTACTGTAACTCTCTTTTCACGTGTCTGAGCAGAACCTCCCTGAATCGTCTACAGGTGGTTCAGAATGCCTGTGCTTGGCTTCTGACCAAGTCCTCCAAATACACCCACATCACCCTGCATCTCCTCCAGCTTCTCTGGCTGCCAGTCAACTTCAGGGTTCATTTCAAGATCCTGGTTCTGGTCTATAGGGCCTTACATGGACAAGCACCATCTTACATTGGTGATCTTCTTAGTCCCTACACTCCCAGCAGGTCCCTGAGGTCCAGTGATCAAAGCCTACTGGTTGTGCAGCACCAGGCTAAAGACCAAAGGTGACAGATCATTTGCTGCTGTGGCCCCCAGACTCTGGAACTCTCTCCCCCTGAGCCTGAGATCAGTGGTCTCCTTTAAAAAACAGCTGAAAACTCACTTGTTCAAGCTGGCTTTTGTATGACCTTCTTCACCACTCTCTCTTTTTTCTGCTCTCCCCACCTATTCCACCTTCCTCAGGATCCACTGATTTCCCTCTTTCCTATTCACTCTCTCTCTTTCTTAACATTTTTTTAATCACAATTGTCTATTTTTTGTTCATTTTAAATATATTTTTAACCATTTTCTAAATTCTTTTTTATATTTTTACATTTTTTGTTTTTGTGAAGCGCCTCGTGATTTTTATCTTGAGAGGCGCTATAGAAATGATATTTTCTTCTTCTTCTTCTTCTTCACATCCTCCATCACCTTCCAAGGCTTTCCTCTTGCGTTTGTGTTAATCATGAGTAATCCACTTAAAAAAAACAAGAAAAAGAAGCCCTCATGACACGTGGGAAGTGATAACTGAGGATCATTGTTTGTAGAATAGTTGCTTCTACTAACATGTTCCTTAAACAAAGAGCTTAAGCACTGACTGGTACACCCAGACTTCCTGAGAAAATGCCACTTCCGCTGCTAATTAATGAGCTGCATTGCTCTCAGCTCCCAACAGGAAGTTCATAAGCTCCAAACAATGCTACATCACTCCGCACGTGAACATGCAGCGCTTAATACCCGGCACGAGGGGAAGGAACAGAGGGGAAAATCAACAAACAAAAGCATAAAGGGGAAGCTTTGGAGTACAGCGTTGAAAGTGGGGTAAGTATAAGTGTATGGAATGATAAAATATTATTAATTTGTTTGTTAAATGCAGATTTTAATGTTGTCTATCTGATCAGGGTTAATTTTACTTTACTTTTCATGCCTAGAATCAGAAGTCTTGTCCTTTTTCTACATTAGCATGGTAATTTGGGTTGTTTGTGTATCTGATTTCATTTCAAATAAAAATAATTCCTTTCAGTTTGACATTTGTTTAGTTATAACACTATTAAAATAATTCTTATTTCAGGCTTTAAAGTGTTAATGTTCCTCAATTTCTCCACAATCTTTGTTATATTTGCGGATAAATTTACTTTGTCCAACGAGTCGCATCAGTCTCCTTTCACATACAGAACACTACCCTGTTGCTGCCAAACACGTCTGATTTGTTTTGAATGATGTAAAACAGGCATCTGAAAACATGTGCATGTTGTTGTTGTGAATAAATCCACCACTGTTTTAATGATGCATAGGCTGGTCACTCACCGCCCCTCGTCCCAGTCTTTGGGCTTCTTGGTCTCATTTGGTTTGATGCAGCGGATGTAGTGAGGAGTGCATTTCATCAGCGTGCTCACCAGATCGTTGGCTTGTTTCTGAAGGAGAGGAAAAGATGCACAACAGTATGGTTAAAGTCTTGACATGAAACACATGTTATCTTATCTAAAAAACAACATTTAGAGGCATAATGATGAACATGCACCTTTATTTTGCTGCCTGCAGTAGTGGGCCGACCCTTCTTTTCAGCACTGAGGTTTTCTGGAAACAGTGCTCTGATGAAGCCGCTGTGAGGAGGTAAAATGTTAGAATTAACAGATTTATTTTTGCAAAACCCACAGAAACAAAACACCCTAAATGTGCTGCTAGCAGCCAAAATGAAAAAATGTGGTTAATGATTGCAGAGGCGAGGACCTTAGACTGAATAAGGTCACTGGTCTGAATTCCTGAAACTTTTGGGAAGGTTTGAGTTGGGGGAGGCTCAGGCTGGGAAAACGAAAGGTGTGTGTGTGTGTGGGAGTGTGTGGGGGAGTGTGTGTGCAAAAAATTAAATGTACAGGGTCACTTCAGCAGAGAAAGACCTAGTTCTATTTGAACTATCACCTCGAAGTAAAACGACTGCAGCATTTATTTCTCCAAAAGTTAAAGCGGCATTCATCGCTAAACATAATAATTTTAATCATTATTATTACCTTAAGAGAGACATATTTTGGCCTTTTCCTTAAGTTATAATAGTTCAATGTTTGATACGAAACATGTTTAAGTTCTTTGGACTAAATCCCTCTCATGTAAAATGAACTCAGCAGTTTTCTTCTGGACATTTTCAGTACCTTCCAGAATGAGTTGTTTCAGGATGGAGCTGGCCCCGCCCATCTACCCTCCCTCCCTTCCCCAGTTATAAGCTGAGAAGTGTTGATATCTCTGAGGGGCTTGGAGCAGTGTCACAGCATGACATCACAAATGTTGTTTTAGGCACAATATTCCTAAAATCAAACACTGTCAGAAAATGCATGAAAGGATTTTTTTTGTGTGTTTGGAGTTTTTACAGAGGCAGTAAACACCCACATGGAAGCACAAAAGGATGCAAAAGGTGAGTTTTGCATAACACGTCCCCTTTAATATGAATATTTATATCATTTTTACTGCACCCCTTATTGTTCTACATGAACATAAAAGGCAAAAACATTTTCATTGCTTTTTTCTTGGTCTAACACTTTAATGGTTAATTAAAAATGAATCCAGTTTGTTTTAAACTTTTTTAGACTTCAGTTTTGCAGAAGAAAAACGACAGAAACCTGATCTGTGGTGCATTATGGAACACCGTGCTGGGATACTTGACCCAGTCTGCAGTCATAGATGGAGTCGAAACCAGAAACCCTATTAACGCAGAAGGGTTCCCTCCTCTCTCTTGTTACTGTTACAGAGAAGTAGATGCAGAGTTTTATGAATTTATAAAGATAACTCTAATTTCAACTTTTAAAAAACTCAGATTATTTTAATATTCACTCTTCATATTTTGTTTTACCTCTCCTTTGGGGCTCCATAGTCAGAACTGTTTGGTTTAAACTCCTGGCTGGAGACTTGGACACAGAATAGAGGATCAGCAGGTTGTGTGCACAAAAAGAAGTTGGCTAATATCCTCCAGCTGACACGACTGGTCAGTCCTTTCTTCTCTATTCAGACCTGCTGCTCCTAAGAATGGAGGCACTTCCTTTTTCTTCTGACGTTTCCTTTCTGTAACTCTTTCATCTGTGCAGACTTAAAGTACCATTAAAGGGATATTCCACCTAAAAGTGAAATTTTGTTGTGTTGACATATTTCCCAGAGTTAGATGAGTGGGAAAAACTATTTGTAACCAGCCCAGTTATTCTCCTGACCCAGCAGAATTCCTTTAGCCTTAGCTTAGCACAAAACTCAGCAAGTGAATGGGACCAACAAGCATTGTGATAAAAAAAGTAGACTCCTCCTTTGGGGAAAACGAACACTGACATAATGTCTGGTTCTATTTTCCCATCTTAAGTTGGCAACAACAATATAATGAAACAAATTGACACAAAGGGGGCCCAATGTTTTCTAAATAAAAACGGGGGAGGTAATCATGGGCCCCTCTCCCCTCTTGGGCCCTGGGTAGTCAGGTCCACTTTTCCCCCCAGTACGACGCCCCTGATCCCAGCCTTACAGCCCCACCCTCAGCTCCTCCTCTCTTCCCTTTTGTGGAATTGTCTGGGCTTGACGGAACCTGTGACATGGTCAAAATGGCGGTGGTGGCCACCTCCCATTTGGCCTCAAAAACGTGATATTGGAGCCTATGGAAAGGAGATGTCCAGTATATTTATGTCGATGGGTGGTACACAGACAATACGGGCTGCTTGAACAGATGGCCACTTTGAAACAAAAAAAACCTCAAAACCATAAAACAAAGTGACCAAACTGTACATTTGAATGCAACATCTTTAGCCAGAAACCAGACGTGATTCAGGTCAGAGGGCGAGATGACCCTGAACCTCACACACTTCAACTGTTTCCTGCCAGATTGCAGATGGGCCGATGCTTCTGCAGCTTTTATTCATATGCGTTGACAAGCTACTTACATCTCGCTGCTCTGCATCAGCTCAATGAGGTCAGTGAAAAGGACGTCCCGGTTCCTCTCACAGAAACCGTCTGCGTCGTAGGACACCTGTGGAGAGGCGGGACAATCATCAGGGGCTGATCTACCTAAAAACCAAAAGCAGCAGATCTTCTAAACAGAAAGGATGAAAAATGAACAATCTTAAGCTTTTCACCTCCCAGGATTAGCCTCCATTTAACACCAGCAGTCACATTAAAGTGAATGTTATTCCTACGATACTACAGGCTGAGGCGGGAGGAATGTTTTCAGCACAGTCATGGGAGTCTCAATTCTTTTATCGCAAGGCTCATTGAGCCTGCGGCATGTGTGCCAGGCCGAGGCCGCGGCACATCTGGAGAATGACACCAGACGACCTCAGCAGCCCCTCTGTCAAAATCCAAACTAGCACTAAACGAAAACATCTCACCATCTAAAATAACAAACTCGTAAGAAATGTACATTTGTAAGACAGAAAAAGACCAAGGAGAAGGTTGTTTTGAATTCAAAAAGGGACTCGGACTCCAGGATTGAAGCACCAGCTGCAGATGGATCATAGCAGAAGCAGCTCCCTTTACCAAAACCATAAAAAATAATAAGTCTATTTCCAGAACTCCAGTTGCCTACTTCAGTGTTTATACGCATCACCAGACACTGCAGCCAAAACAAGTGCATAAGGATGTTGTAATCATCTATTTTGATTCGTTGTTTCCAAATGAACTTATTAAAGCTTAAAAAAGCTTTCGGAGCAGCCACGCCCACCTTGCCAGCATAGTGGTGGATGATGAAGCCCTGGTTCCAGCTGTTGAAATGCTCATGCGTGTTGATCTGGACTCTGAGCTTCTGCAGCATGGTCTGGTCAGCTCCTTCACCCACGGCGTGCATGGTGGCACACACGTCATCCAGAATGCACATGATGCCCGGAGGAGTCTGGGATCACACAAGAAAAAGAAACCAACGATAATCACGTTGATCTTTTTATCAAAAACATCTGCATTTTAAACACTCTGAAGTATTTTTCAAAGAAATTATGCTAAAATATGCATGCAAACCACAAATTTCGAGCTTATTTTTTTTTACTTCTGAAGCCTCACAGTGGTTTTACAGTAGTCAGACTGTTTAATACTGTTAAAAAGGACACGTGTTAACTCATTACTGGATTAGACAGAGAGCTGTACTGTCAGACACTGATACAAATCCCCTCTGCCCCTCTCAGACAGAGGCTCATTTTAAAGCCCTTGTTGTGGATTTTGTGGATCAGGCTTCTAAGCAGAAATGATAAATCAAATTAGGAGGCATGTCAACAAGTTTGAGACTCCGAGGCTGCACAGAAAAAACTTTGAATGATTTTTAACACTCAGATTTGGAGAATAAAACAAACAAATGCTTGACTGTTTTTTAATTCTCTGATTATACTTTTTTCAGCTTTTAGTCTGTTTATTATTAGAGAGATCTTTTTTTAATGTTTTAGATTATTTGGACAGGAAGACATGTTGGCATTAGCTAAGAAAGTTTTAATTCTTCCAAAGCAGACTGACGACAATTGTCTGAGCCCTTGTAAATCTTACAACTGTACAATAAACAGGTAATTAGAGTTAAAAAATTCTATTCTACTGAAACTTCATCCATAAATTTAATTATAGAGTTTTAGATTATCTAAAATTCTTTAAAAACTGTGAATCCTGCAGCTTTGTAGCGAGTTTTTTTTTGCTCCTTTTCTTTAGGTGTGCGGAACATTTTCCTGCATTTTCACCTTGCTCTCAATGAGATCGCACACAATCTTGTTGTTGAAGTAATCAATAGGCGTCCACTTGATGCCTTCCTGCACATACTCCTCCTGCAAGACACGAGAAGATTCAAATCGAGAACAGATTAACTGTTCCAATAAAAAAATGATCCACGAGAAGGAAAACATTACCTGCTCTGCCTTTAGCGTCAGCTCAATGAAGATCTGCTGGAGCTTCTCGTTCACAAAGTTGATGCAGAACTGTTCAAAGCCATTTTTCTAAAAGGAGATGATGTGGTTAAGAAAATCCTGATCGTCTAAATAATCTTCATCTTCAGTAAAGTGGAAATATTCTGTATGTTAACAACTTAATGGGAGCTACAAACAGGTATTCAGGTGTTGAAGCAAGGCCACATTGTTTATTTAAAGTAACACTACAGGTTTTAAATTTTAAGCTAGAGATTTAACATCGATCTCAGTGATTGTTAGAAACTTGACCAGTTTCATATTTGACACCACTGTGCAGCCCTCTGCGGACCAAAAACCGCACTTGATAGTTTTGTGTGTTCTAGGGGGAGCTTTTTACCTGCTTTACGTTTGTTAGCTGTAATGCTTCCGGTTAGCATTTTCAGTTTGCCTTGTGTCAATAAAAAGCACAAGAAGAAAAAGACGAGGTTTGTTTTGTTGTTGGCGTCATGGCGGAGCCTGGCAGTTAAAGTAAGACAGTAATGTCTTTGTAGGTGAAGCAAAGAGAAAAAGCCAGAGTGAGCATCAGCACAGCCTACGCTAGTTTAAGAGAGCTAAAGAAGTCTACAAACTCACGGACTGATGGTGACCTGGCTTTGTTGCTATTGGACTTGGGAGTAATAATATTTTTTGTCCAACAGTGTGGATCTTTCTTACTTTCTGGTTTATTTTAGTATTAGCTGGTTCACATTAGTGTTAGCTCGTTGTTAGCACTAGCTACAGCAGACTGCAGCATGGTTGTAATTCCACTTTCAACCAGGAGGGTGGAAGAGTAGGAAACGGTCTAGTGTTACTTTAAAACTACAGTCCCATGAGGTAGTGTTTTTCAAACACTCTACATTTTAAGACTTCATTAATCTGAGTTAACTTAATCAGATTAACCCGTCTGAATCAGTAAATTAATTTTTGTTTAGTCTAATCAAATACTGCAGGAACTTTGCTCTTGGTATTTAACAGATTTATAGCAAAACAATAATTTATAAAGTATGTTAATCAACTGCAGCCATATGTCACATTTAGTAAGCAGAATAAATAAATAAAAATACTTACTTGGAAAATTTCAAATCCATAAATGTCCAACACTCCAATATTTAACTCCTGGTGATTCTTCACCATGGCTTTGTTAATGGACTGAAATGAAAGGATTACTCTAAGCAAAGTGTTGCAGATTATTGATTAAGGACGTAAGAACGCACACTCATACCTCGACAAGGAAGTCAAACACGCGTGAATGCAAGGCCTTGGAGAGAGCGTCTCGCGTGTAGCATGCCTGCTCCACGTTCAGGGTGACGTCGATAGACTCCTTGGTGCTGCCCCACTTGCTGTCCATCGTTCTGCTCGTCAGCTTATCTTTCAGACGATTCTGGTCGATTCCGAGCAGAAACGCAGGGAACGCTAAAACTGATCAGGAGTAGAGAGAAGGGGAAATGTTAGGAATGCCAACTTTCTGACAAGGCAGAACAACATTAATTTGAAAACAAGGAAGCAAATGCCTCATGAGAACTTTGCATCATAGTTCATTGCTAAAAAGCCAGTCTTCAAATGGATATTTAGTGCCTCATTTCTTCTTTAAATCACATAAAAGCCTCACAAATAGGCTTTATGCATGTAAATGGAAAAACCTGGCCAGGGCTGAATGGCTAAAAATAGGCATCCTTTAAAAAGATTTCTATAATACTTGATTATCTCTAAAAATATGTTGTGCTAACTACAGCATTTGATAAAATTTGATGTTGATATTGTCCCTTGAGAGCCCCTCCCTCCCTTATTACAGTGACTCACTTCCCCTAAAAGGAAATAACTCTCAGGGCTGCAGACTCACTACGTCTGGGAATGCATCAGACTTTTGTAGTAGATCTCCTCCGCGAGGAGTTAAGGAAGGGACTGGCCATACGCCTGCTTCAGTCACGAGGAAAAGTCCTCCTCTGGGTTTGACAGGAGACGTATGGATCATATGCTGCAACCATGAGGACTTCAGAGCTTGTGTGGAAATGTTTGAAATGTAACGTTCAGAAAAAAAGCTTCCAGCAGCAGATTTGTTAGTCAAAGCAACAACGAACAATAAGATGATGTGTTGTCGAACCTGAGATGTGCAAATTATGCCAAGTCCTCTCAGTCCTTACTTCTTTCTTTAATGCTTGCAATAAATCCAAACTAACCAATCGTACGGAGCAAGGAGAGACCATCGGGGAGACACGGAAGAAGACTAGATGAGGTATGTCAAGGCATAAGCGAAGGCGACATATGGAAGAAATACATTCTCAACAGAATGACTTTTATAGACATTGAGTTTATGACAGTGAATTTTTATCCTGTGAAATCAAGTATTAGATTATTTATTTACTTGAAATACACTAGCAGAATATGGAAAACAACTGAGGGGCCTGGTGACCAAAGTAATCGTCACTTGACTGCAACGAGTGGCATTTTGTCAATCAAACTGCGCTTCACTCATGTGACACCAGTGATGTGTCGACTCGTATTAGTGAAGGTCTTGCACCACCAGGTTACCTCATTTGCTGTTGAATTTTTTATGCTGAAAATCTGTTGCAGAATTTTTGCTGGTGTGTAAAAAAAATGTAAATACATAATTTCATCCATCTATCCATCCATCCATCCATTTTTGGCAGCTTATCCAGGATCTGGTCGCTGGGGCAGCAGCCTAAGCAGGGAGGCCCAGACTTCCTTCTCCTCAGCCACGTGGACCAGCTCCTCCGGGGGAATCCTAAGGTGTTTCCTGGCCAGCCCAAAGACATAGACCATCCAGCCTGTCCTGGGTCTTCCTTTAGGTCTTCTCCCGATTGGACAATCCGAGAAAACCTCACCAGGGATCTCATCCACTCCCTCATCCACCCCCATAGCCTTGCCACGCTTTTTGACCTCCTCAGTGACCTCAGAACCAGAGACTGGAGAGTGCAACCCAAAGTCTCCGGGCTCTGCTTCCTCACTGGAAGACGTGCTGCGAGATTGAGGAGGTCTTCGAAATACTCACCAATCCACAATGTCCTGAGTAGAGGTCAGCAGCACATTGTCCTCACTATAAACAGTGTTGGTAGCGCACCGTTTCCCCTCCTGATGCGCCCGATGGTGGACCAGAATCTCCATCATAATTTCACACAATAAAAATGTAATGTCTAAAAGACATCATATTCTGGTGAGACTATTTCTTTCATAGTGACAGAAGGAAAAGTCTACTTCCTTCTAGGCTCCGACTTAAGTCCAGACCTGCTAAAGTAGATTTAAATTTTCTGGTAACTGACATCAGACCGGATCACTAGGGACGGCTGGCTGCAGCCCAGCATTAACACAGTAAGACTTTTGGCCGTGGAAGTGGTGAGAAAAGGATTCTCTAAAAACCAGCCTGAGAAGTCCAGCTCAGGACACAGAGGAGACGAGAGACAGTCTCAATCTGTCCTCCTATTGGTCACACCACAGAACTGTCTCCAAGTCAGTGGATAACTACAGTTGTCCACTATTTGGTTCTGAACCAAAATATCTCATCAATGACTGGTTTCTTTGACTAAAAATGTCCAGATAAAAAAGAAGGTTAGCCTTTATGTGAAAACGTCCCAGCTAACTGTTAAAAATCAGCTCATAATTGGTGTGTTTTGAGCCCACTTACATTCTTCACTCTCCACAGCAGCATAGTTGCCCGATTCCTTGAATGTGATGTTCCCCAGGTGCAGGACTCCGGCCACAATCTGAAGCACCATGGATCTGTTTTCCCGCGAGATGCCGATCACATCCATGGCATGCTGGAGAAGCAACGAGAGAGAAAAATAACAAGCTAAATCAGGGCTTCAGCGTGGGCTTAGTCATTCTCGTCTCCTCTAATTCCTCCAGTTATGGTTTCACTGGTAAACATAAACAGGAAGAGTTCTTGCAAAGGAAAACAAAAGAAGGTGGTGACAGAGAATGTAAAGAGAAGACAGCGAAACATCTGCGTGAGATTCACAGCACCCCTGAGGCAGTTCCTGTCAGTTTGACACATGGAGTCTGACCATACCATTGTCTCCTGGAAGTCACTCTTGTCGTTGATGTCGTCCACTTTGTAGGAGCCAGACTGGTTGAGGTAAGTGTAGTAATCCAGGCTTGTGATTCCCAGGCTGCCCTTCTGCTCTCCGCTGGCGCCTTCTATCAACTGAGATCAGAAAGTTTATCAAGATGGAAAGATGCAAAAACGAGCCAATAAAGAAAACAAAAGCTGATGAAAGACCATCAGAGACAAAAGAAAAGCATATTTTGGCCCAAAGGTGGCTGAAGTGTGCAAACGTTGTAAATCATACAATTAACAAAGTACAGCAAAACAATCATGTTGCTATTTTTTATTTATGACTATGTTTTTACCTATTCTAAAACTAAATGCAAAAAAAGACTTTTCTTACAAAATGCATTTTGATGTCAGGCGTGTTTAAAGACGTCACCTCAACAACATCAAAGATTTACTAAAACTTTACTAACTTTGTTAGCTGTAATGCTAGCAGTTAGCATTTCCAGTTAGTTGATCGTTAAAATAACCCCCAAATTCCACTACCTCCGCTCCGCTCCGCTGCGGTCCGCCCCCACCTTCCGCAGCCGCTCGCTTCCGAACTCAATTTTTACTGGTACGCGCTCTACAACGGCTCCGCTCCGGTGCGGAGACCTGAGGTGGGCAAACAAGCATGCGCGGGATTTTCAAGATCTTGCGATACAGTCCGAGCAATAAACGCGGAAGTTAGATCCAAACACCCGTTGTGTGGGAGAAGCATCGACATGAGCTGTTCAATCTGCCCATCATTTGTGTTGAGATCAGCAGTGTTTGGATCAACAAAATGTGACTACTTTGATAGCGGAAACTGTATTTATGGCTTACTTTTGGGCATTTAAAGTTCAGCCGCCATTGATAGTTGTTAAAAGTTGTTAAACCTGTGCATATGAAACAAAAAACGCCTTTTGTTTATCGATTTATTGTGAAAAACGGAAGTTGTGCTTGCTCCTTTTCCTGTTGGGCCGTTGTGATTTCTGTACATTTACTGCGGAGGTGCTCCGGCGTCCGGCAAAAATAGGATCGATTCTATTTTTGCCGGACACCGGAACAGAGGGCGGCGCACGGCGCCGCACTGCCGGAGCACGGCCGCAGTAGTGGAATTGCTCTGATTGACTACAACGGGACCGATTTTGCTCCGGCGTTCGTGTCGGAGCGGAGCGGAGGTAGTGGAATTACTGCGTAAAGCACAAGAAGCAAATAAATAAATAAATAAATAAAGAAGTTTGCTTTTACTGTTGGCATTAGCGAAGCCTGGAAGTAAAAGTAAGAGGGTACGGTCTTCAGAGGCAAAAGAAGAGCTAAAATCAGAGTGAGCATCATCGCGGCCTACACTCGTTTGAGGGAGCTAAAGAAGGCTCCAAAATCACAGACTGACAGTGACCTGGCTTTGTTGCTACTGGACTTGTAAGTAATAATATTATTTGTCCAACAGAGTGGCTCTTTTAACTTAGTGGTTTATTTTAATATTAGCTGGCTCATGTTAGTGTTAGCTTGTTGTGAACGCTAGCTACAGTAGGCTGCTGTGAGGTAGTTTACAACAGTTGTAATTCCACTTTCAACCAGTAGGGCAGTGGAGCAGGAAACTGCTCCGTGTTACTTTAAAAGAAGGAATTTTAGGTCAACTATAATGTCTTAATAAATTGTCGATGTGTGAAACATTTATTTTGTCTTTCAATGAATTCTCCAGCACAACTTAACACTTCTTTTCTGAACAGGTCGGACACCAGACTAAAAAAATCAAACGCTTTGACTTGTTTCCTCGACTCACCTGATAGAAAATGTGGAAACTCCTTTCTCCGGGATTCCTCATGACGACACGTGACTTCTCCAAAAGAAAGTTTGAAATTTTCCCTCCATCTGGTTCGCCACCAGAGCTGAACTGGATCTCAAAGTATTTCCCCTGTTGGATCACAGCAGTTGGTTTCTGCATTAGAATAAAGCTGAAATGACACGGCTGCAGTCGAAAAACCTGGCACCTGGTTCTCATAGAGCTACTCGTGTGTGTGTGTGTGTGTGTGTGTGTGTGTGTGTGTGTGTGTGTGTGTTCATTTGGTGTCAGTAAAAATTCTGATCCTGCTTTTTGTCTTGCTCTGCACTCCAGACAGGCCTGTAATGTATCTGTTTCAGTCAAACTGTGAGTAGAGTCCCAAAACTGAACAGAGACACTATTTATTCAGAGAGTTTCTAAAGTTGTGGTCTCAGTCCATCAGAGCCAATTAATTTGTCCACAAAACGGTTTAAAATATCTTAATGAAAGCTGCTTTGAATGGAAATAAAGGCTTTTTCCCATTTCACCCATAGTTGTGAAAATGCTTATTTTTCTCTTTCTCTCCCATGCATGTGTGTGTGTGTCCTCTGGTTAACCAGGTCACATATGAGGTTTGCTGCCTTGTGCTAGACAACAAAACCGAGAAGAAGCTGTTACCATAAATCTCGTTTTCAAAAGCCTCCGTTTCAATTCAAAGGTGTGCCACAAAAATCCTCCCACCCTTAAGCCTTTAATAACCAACACAATAAAGGAACTGCAATTCAAGTTTGTTATTCTAGTTTCAGATTCCAAAAAGGGCACTTTAGATCCAAATTTTAGACGTTTTCACTGTTAAACGAGAACCATTTCTGAGCTGAGCTGCTTTGATTCACAAAAAGTGAAAACTAAGTGATGAAAGCCTCACAAATCTGCTGGAGTTGTTGTTCCTCAGAGTTTTGGCGTTTCCGAAGGCCTCCAGCAGCGGGTTGGACTGCAGGATGATGTCTTTGACGTGCTGCAGGGGGGGCAAATAATGTATCACACACACAGATCATACAGCACACACACACACACACACACAGCTCACCAACAGGCTGGTGCATCTATCTTTGGAAGTTTCCACTCAGCACGCACGCACGCACACGCACGCACACATGCACACACACAACACACACACACACACACACACACACACACACACAACACACACAACACACACACACACACACACACACACACACACACACACACACACACACACACACACACACACACACACACACACACACACACACACACACACACACACACACGTCTACAGACAGTAGATGCACACAAACAGCGTCTGGAGGACATTATCCTTCCTGTGAGCCATGTGTGTGTCAGAGACACATGAGTTTTAAATCTTTTCAGCAGACAGAGCGGTTCCCTTTTCTATTACTGTTCCCAGAAGGTGACCGGAGTGTTTTTCTTGACTTTAAAAATTTTAAATACTTTCACAAAGACTTGTGTGGACTTAAAAAGACAAAAAGCTAAGAATACATTTCAGTATCTCCAAAATAAATCAAATATATTCTAACATGATTCAAATGAGTTCTGAATAGGTTGCTCAAAAATGAAGGGAAGCATGCAAATAAATAAAAATTATATAATGGTTCATGGTTTCACTGTGAAATTTATAACATTAGATAAATTAATATGACAAAACGCTAATCAGAAATTGCTTTATTTGGGATTTGGAAGCTGTAAATATTGTTCCTAATCCAAAATCTCTAGGTGGATAAACTCCACAGGCTCTTCCTCTTCAGAGTTTAAGATATTATCAAGCTGAGAAGTGGACATCTGCTGGTTTGGAGGAGCTGCCAGATGGCTGAAGGGGGCTGGCTGGAAAACGGGTTGCTGATGGGGTGATAATAGGGTGTAAGTAACAGGGATGCCAAGGGACTGGGGGAGGGATAACTGCAGGAATTACACAGCAGCAGGTTGTTTAATGTCACATAACTGTTACGCTACCTTTCTCATAACAAAAAACATCCTAAAGTTGTCAATAATTGGAGTAAAAATGAAAGAAAAACTAAAGAAAAACACTAAAGGTCTTCAGAAGGGCAGATAGAGGATTTCTAAATTTACAACCTTCACGGAGCATCACTCAATCTAAGCATCGGGGCATCTAATAAGGAGGAAAAAGTAGTGACCCCCCCTCCCCTTACCTGCACTCGGGGTCCACCTCCAGACACTTTAGAGATGTAGCCCATGATGTACTTTGCTGCTACAGTCTTCCCTGCACCGCTCTCCCCACTGGAAAACAGACAGAATCTCTCAGCAGGTGTTTTCCTGTTGCCTATAACAGCACATGACACCTTTTATTTGGCTAAAAGGCTTGTTAGCTTGGTTTTTACACCAATACTGGCTTGGTTATGAGTGAAAGGAGCTATGCAAGTGCGGGTCATTTAGCATTTATCATTCATTTATCATCTACCTTCTGCATTAGCTTGTGACAGAAAATAGACGGTGAAACTCGAGAACTTGAAAAGCCTGACAGATCTAAGTCACATTGACACTCGCGACAAGGAGGGCTGTTGTTGGTTCAGAGTCCAGGAAACAGCAGAGAACGTCTTGGCTGGTTGAAGCTAACGTTAGCATTAGCAACACTCCACCACACAGCAGAACTTTTTCAGACTTGGGTTATTTGTGAAGATAAAACATCAACGTTGCAGAGCAAACGGAGTCAGTGGTAGAGTCATGTTGCTGTTATCCAGTCTGAGGTGAGATGTCCAAATATCAGGAAAGAACCTCCAAAACCTGCCATCTGAATCTCAGCTGGTATGTGGCTCACTTCTAGTCCCTGGAAATTGTGCACCGGTGTGTAATAAGTGTATATTATATGAGACCAAAAAACAGCAATAATTAAAACACGTATTAAGTTACACATCAAATGATACCACTAATAAACAAAACCCAAAAGGAATCAGACTGTGGGCTCATTAATTCATCACAGCTCCCATAATAAACACAAATCAATGAAAATCTCAATAGGAGTACATCTCTCTCTCCCTCTGTGTGTGCGTACTTGTTTAACTATTCTACTTATAAGTAGGATAGTTAAGTAGGATTAAGTAGTAGGATGGTCCTATAGGACCAAAACTGGCATATTCACTAATCATCTGAAGACCGATGACCCTTGTTAGGACCAAAACCCGATCCTAAAACAGTGGACTCCCTGTTTTAGGCTTAGGGGTGAGGCTTAGGGGTAAGATGTGAATTGAGCTTTTGTTACAGTTAGGTTTAGGAATACACTGGTTATGGCTAGGGTTAGGGTAAGGGTTAGGCATAGTAAAGTCAATGAAGGGTCCCAACAAGTATAGATATACCAGCATGTTGGTGTGTGTGTGTGTGTGTCCAGTGCTCAAATGCATCAGTTGGTGCAGCAAGAAGCAAATCTTAACCTTGTTGCTACACATCTGTTCATCTGAAGACATAAAAGAGAACGACTGTTTTGTTTACATATTTGATCCATCTTCTTCCTTCTCTTTTCCTTCACTTGTTCTTTTCCCCTCCTTGCCTCTCGCTGTGCCATGGCCATACTCGTTAGGCCACATGTGGTTTGGCAGCAACTGATGGGAGAAGTCTGTTTTTTCGTGCCTAAAGGAGAGTCAGGTTATTGCAGCCACTGTAAGGACCACAGCTGCAGACTGTTAAAGGGGCTGCCAGAGGAAGTCATGGGAGCAACATCATTACATTGCAGCCTCTGTACGGCTGCACACATCCCCTCCCCCCAATATAACTCCCAATCCTTCAATGTTAAAACTGGACCCCTGGCATCACGTAACAACAGCAGGAATCTGCAAGAAAATAAATTGTAATTTTCATCTCACAGAAGACTCTGATCTCCACATGAAAGTTATTTTTTGAGGAGCTATTTTAAGCACAAGCTCCAATGGGAGTCCCGCTCTTTTGGTGCAGTCTGAAAACTCATTACATTCACTTTTGCAGCAGTTTATTAACCTAACATGGACACAAGCTTCTAAAATGGGAGGGAGCTTTAAGCATTAGTTGTTGACGAATTATTGCACAAATAAACAGTACAAAGAACGACAAGCCTACTCAGAATTATATTTGTTTTAGCAGCGGTTTTAACAGAAATACAAGAGATGTTTTAAGTGCTTCCTGAAACTGATTTATGTGGCGCCCAACTCCTGGTACCATGCCTTAACTTAAGTGTTGCAAACAGCATTTGAAAAGTAGCACAATACACTGTCCATTCAACCCAAAATACTTCATTTGCTGCCCTCACTTCCTTGCAGCGGAAAAAGAAAAGGAAAGACACATCAATGAAACAAAAGACCCACACAACCTGAACAATGAAAACAGTAGCTGCCCACAAAGTGACAACCCAAAACCAGAAGGCCAAACAGAATCAACAGAATCCCACTAACTACTTACTAAAATGATATTTTATCATCAGCAGCGGGTCAGAAGTATGTTAACAGCAATGCAACAGGAAAGGAAGGAAGTTCCCTAAAATATGGTGCAAGTTAAAAGAATTAAGCATTAAATATAAAATCCACTTAGACATTTGGTGCAGTATGTATAATGCGAAAATTAAACTATTGCATTTTACCTAAATTTGTACCTAAATAAAACAATTTCTTGAACCTCTTCCAACATGTTTTTTTGTGAAATGTATCCAGTTTTAGGAACTTGGCCATACTGATGCACTGAACCCTTGCAGACGTGGGACAGCCAGATCCACAAACAGCACACGGGTTATAAATTTCATTTATGCTTTAATGAAAGATGCCAAACTTAGTGAGTTTCTTAGCAAATGTGAGAAAAAGCCAACTCAAGAAGATGCTAATCGCAACACACAACCAGCAGGTTACTGCAGACTTTGCTGACCCAGCTCATCTTGAAGCCACATCCAGGATGACATGAACAAGCCACTGCTTGCAAAAGTGCTGAAGAAGGGTCATACATCATGTGGTAAATGATACAGTGACCATGCTGCTTAGATAAAATTTCAATCATGACCGTACAGATTTCTCACTGCAAGTTTAAAACCAGCAAACACAACAAAAGGCTTCAAAAAGACATAAAATGTCCCTAGACCCATGACTGAGTCAGGAAGGAACAGGTGTTTTCCTACTTAGGAAGCTGTTTAAAAAGGCACCACAGCTGCTTTGTTCCAGTGAGAGACCAGGTTTTTATTATTTCACTTCCTTGGATATTAGCGATTTTTATCCTGAATTTAGATTGAACTAAAACTGAAAATAACACGATGGTGAAAACACAAAAGCAGCAGTCATCCTGGATCAGTGAGCCGCGGCACAAGCTGTGGGGGAACCTGCCGGGTCTTTTCTCCAATTGCATTCTCATTCATGATCAGAGACTAAACAGCCATTCAGCTTCTGACAGGAAACGTTTCAAAGAACACCATCATCCGCTTTTGTTTTTTACGTTCTGAATATTTGACAAAATTACAAAAAGTCGACCCCAAAAAACAAAAGAAAATCTCTGGAGGGCTTTTGCACAACTTGGTTATCTCATTCCATGAGCTAATTAAAAGTCTCATTTACTTCCGCTTCCGGTCGGCTACAAGATGGCGCCTGAGCTTGGCTTAGCCGCAGTCACCGGCCACTTTTTCAAACTTTTCTCCACTAACCTCCTCTTTTCCACCTTGCTCCTGTCTGCGATCCTCTTCAGTAGTGTCCCTGCTACCATCTCCTATGATCGCCAGACTCTTCTGTCCTTCCGTTTGTTCACGATCGCCCAAGATGCACCAAGAACGTATCATCCTGTTTGTTTACCTAAGCGGCGCAATGGCCCGGAGCCAAACGACAGTCCCGAGCTGCCCGCCTCCGGCTATGTTTGTCCTGTCCCGGGAAAACGTCGGAGGAAAAGAGGTAAACGAGCAGGAATCCAGGTGAGAGTAAGACTTCTCTTAAAGCGTGGTTTATCTAGTAAACATCAGCGCGATCTTCTAGCTTCTTGCCCTTTGTTTGGTGACCTGAGCGCCACTTCCGCATTCCCGCCAGGCCGCGTTGGGACGCGGTTCATCCGTTCAAGTTTTTTAAGGTCGGTTTATCCTCATTCCTCAGTGGTTTCTCCTCCTGTTCCCTCCATAAGTGGTTTTTATAAACACTGTGGATCTAATCCCGTTAATTTACGTCCACTAACTCCAGCTGTTTCTGTAGTTTCTGATTCCTCCTCCTCACTCAGCATGGCCCTATTGAACACCCACTCTGTTAACAATAAGTCCTTCCTGCTCAATGATCTAATTCTCTCTAAAAACCTGGATTTTCTGTTTCTGACTGAAGTTTGGCAGCAAACATCTGGTTATTCTGGTCTGATTGAACTCTGCCCGAGTGGTTATTCTCTTCTTAGCCAGCCCCGGGGTTCTGGTCGTGGTGGAGGCCCAGCTGTTGTTTTCAGAGACCATCTTCCATGTAGCTCCACAACCTCTGGTCACTTTGCTTCCTTTGAACTGCAGCTGATTAAAGTCGGGCGTAAGGACCCGTTCTACTGTGCTGTGGTTTATCGTCCACCTGGTCCAAACTGTTCTTTCCTCCAGGAGTTTAGTGACTTTCTATCCTCCACTGTGAAGCTGTCCAGACTGGTGATTGTTGGTGATTTTAACATCCACGTTGATGATCCCTCTGATCACTTTGCCATGAATTTCTCCAGCCTTATGGACTCCTTCGGCTTTACCCAGCATGTTTCTGGCCCCACACACACCAGGGGGCACACTCTAGACCTTGTTTTTAACCTGAGTAAATGCGGACAGTGTTTGTCCTGAGGACGTTTATATTTCAGATCACCATTGCATTTTCTTTAACTTGTCAGTTTCTGCGTCCCCACCTCCTGCTCGCCGTATGGTTAGTTCTCGTTTTCTTAATGAGAGCACAGCTAGCAATTTTTTGGCTGCTTTTGATCCACCCTGTTCTTCTGATAACGACCCAGATTCCTTAACTTCTCAGTTTAACGAGCACTGCCTCTCCATTCTGGACAACATCTGTCCTGTCAGAACCAGATCAGTTCCTGCAGTGAACCCTACTCCCTGGTTTAATGACAGCCTTCGCAGCCTGAAGCGCCAATGCAGAAAAATTGAGCGTTTATGGAAGAAAACCCATCTCCACATCCATCTGCTGCACCTAAAGAATCTTCTGTCATCCTTTAACTCTGCAGTCAGAGACGCCAGGGTTTCCTATTTCTCCAACCTGGTGTCCCAGAGCACAGGGAACCCCAAGGTGCTGTTTAACACCATCAGCAGCATCGTCTCTCCTGCCACTCTTACAGCCTCCATCCACTCTGTTGCAGACTGTGAGAACTTTCTGTCTTTCTTTGTGGACAAAGTCAATAAGGTTAGATCTAGCAGCTCTCCTTCAGTCTTATCGCCGCCTCTCCCGACTCCAACCAGGCCCATCATCCTAGATAGCTTTGCTCTTGGTCCCAGTGTGCTCTCTATAATTAATGCTTCTCTGGTTTCTGGTCAGGTCCCTGCTTACTTTAAGAATGCTGTAATCCACCCGCTTCTTAAAAAACCGAGTCTCGACCCCTCTCTCCATAGCAGCTTCAGACCCATCTCTAAACTTCCGTTCATCTCCAAGATCTTGGAAAAGGTTGTGGCTAAACAACTCACAGCTGCTCTTGATGAACATAACATCTATGATAGCTTCCAGTCAGGTGTTCGTAGAGCTCATTCTACTGAAACAGCTCTTCTTAGGGTCTCTAATGACCTCCTGACTCACAGTGATGCAGGGGACTGTTCTGTTCTGGTCCTGCTGGACCTGACTGCAGCCTTTGACACTGTTGACCATCACCTGCTACTGGAGAGGCTGAGAGACTGGGTAGGCCTATCAGGATCTGCTCTGGAGTGGTTCTCCTCTAATCTCTCTGAGCGCTCCTTTTCTGTGGCCGTCTCCAAGTTTAGGTCCTCCACCACTTCTCTTTCCCATGGTGTCCCACAAGTTTCTGTACTGGGGCCTCTGCTCTTCCTCCTCTATCTGCTTCCTCTTCAGCACATCCTGAGCTCCTTCAAAGGAATCTCACACCACTTTTATGCAGATGACATACAACTGTACTTCTCCTTTAAGCCCCATGAGATGTCTAAGCTGCAGCTGTTACACTCCTGCTTAGACTCTATCAAAACCTGGATGGCTGGGAACTTTCTACAGCTGAATGAAGATCAGACTGAGATCCTCATCTGTGCCCCAGACAAGCTGGTTCCCAAAGTCAGAGACTCTCTTGGTCAGCTTGCTTCTCACACCAAACCTTCTGTCAGGAATCTTGGCGTGACCTTTGACCCAGCTCTCTCCCTGGATTCTCATGTCAGTTCTCTTGTTCGCTCTTCCTTCTTCCATCTCAGGAACATTGCTAAGCTGAGTCCCATTCTGTCTCGCTCTGAACTTGAGACAGTTATCCACACCTTCATCTCCTCACGCTTAGACTACTGTAACTCTCTTTTCACGTGTCTGAGCAGAACCTCCCTAAACCGTCTACAGGTGGTTCAGAATGCCCCTATAGGGCATGTTGTGATCTGTGGGGGAAACCGGAGTACCCGGAGGAAACCCACGCATGCATGGGGAGAACACGCAACTCCACGCAGAAAGGCCGCAGCCGAGCCGAGTTTCAAACCTGCAACCTTTGTGCTGCGAGGCAACAGTGCTAACCACTGCGCCACCATGCAGACCAAGGATGGAAAAGAGATGGTTTTAATGTGAAAGGCTCACCTGATGATGACACATTGGTTCTCCCGGTCAATCATCATGTTCCTGTACATGTTATCCGCCAGGGCGTAGATGTGAGGGGGGTTCTCGTATTGAGCCTGGAGGGCAGTTAAATGAAATAAATCACAAGAAAATAAAAAGTCTTAACGCTCTGTTTTAATATTTGTTCAAGTAGCAGCCACAAAAGAATAAAGAACACTAATAAAATGATCAGACGAATGTAAAAAGTAATCAAAACTGTAAAAGATGACTAAATCTGTTCCCATTTAAGCTTCCAGTTTCACACATCTGAGCTTTCTAATGTGGCCTGCTAACTGTGCATACGTGTGAACTATCTGCAAAAGTCAACAAATGACTTTAGTACGAGTGACACAAAGAGCTCTCACAGTCCGTTTTAAGACTTGTTAGTCTGTTCCTGGCTTAAGGAGAGGAGCCCACACTCAGCAGGTCGGCCAAGAGAGGAGGCAGACTTGAACAGGCCGTTCCACGGAGGTGCTGCCAAGCACATTCAATGGTTGAGTCGAGTTTCTGACAGCAACATCTGCGCCAACCAGTTGGAAAAGTCTGGACTACATCTGCCTTTTGTCTATCAGATACTCTGCAGAAACCCTACGAATTTCTAACACATTTTTATTATACATCATAGCTGAGGTGATACTTACCGCACCCTGATACATCTCAATTTCTTTGTCTCCGAAATATGGCATCTGTTTGAAGGGGTTGACAGAAATGAGCACCGGACCGATGTATGTCTGATAAGATTAAGGGTCATACAAACAAACCAGAACAGAACTAATTACATCACTTTACAGAGAAAATGAAACTAGACCTTCTCTGTAGTGCTGAGGTTTTATGCCCCGAGGGCAGAAGGCCACTCGTGGCAAATAAAGCAGCTATTGTGGGTGGCCCACGATGACCCACAGCCTTGGCATGGAGACCTCCCAGTTACAGCTATGTATCAAGCCTGACTCAGTGCTGAAGAACCTAAAACTGGCAGTATTTACTAAACTTCGTAATCCTGCGCACCGCCAGAAAGGGGCTGAAGTTTATGTACTGAACTGCTTTGAGAACATTCAAACAAGTTATTCATTCACCTTGTTGTACGTCATTAACCACATGCATGTGTTCCCACTGCTGCATTTAAGAACCTAAATGTAGCGTTTGTGCCGTGTGGAGTGTGAAAATATTAGGGTGAGATCCATAGGGGGCAACAGGGAAGTCTGTTACAAAATCCGTTATAGCTCACACCTATTCAGTCACATTTTTGCTCCACAGTGAAACGAAAGCACGTCTGACTGCGGTGAAAGAGCAGGAAATATGAGATCTGGGAGAGGGTACAAACAAAGAGGCCCTTTCCCCACTGGGAATTTGTCACCTTCCAACACTGACCCATTACTCACAGCTTATATATCACTGTGAATGAGCATTCAGCGTTTCTGAGTCGGCTCAGCCATTCCTCACTGGGGTATGAACTGTAGCAAAGGATACAAAGATGTAGTCATCCATGTATCTCTTCTTGAGGTTGTCCACAATGGCGTCCTCATTGATCTTGCTGAGTAGGACCATGTCGTCCACTCCACTCTGTTTGACATTATGGCTCTGCCAGTGGTACCGGTAGTGGCCCCGGCTCCCCTGAAACACAAAAAAAAAAAACACAATGCACGATTGTTAGTTCACTCAAAACGACACAATGACATGAATACATGTGGAGTCTGACTTCAGGGTGAGTCATTCTTGCTACAATAGGTCAACCATATCATTTCAGCACAGTCAGAACCTCAGGTGGTGTGATTTTATCCCACCAGTGAACTGATCACCACAAGAATACAAAACCTTAACTTGTGCTTTTCGTCTGACCTCAGAAACATGCTTAATCTCTACGACAAAGTGCAAATTCAGGTTCCCAAAAGTGCTTTGTTAAAGACGCTTTAATCCACATCCTCACTCTGTGGTTTCCCCCTACGTCCTCGTTTTTGTTTATTTTAGCTGAGTTTCAGGAGAACTGAGGTCATTCATCATGAGTCGGTAAAGGTTTTGGCTACTGTGGACGAGAGTCACAGTGTGCTGCTGCAAGAGGGAGTTTATTTCTATAGAACGAAGAGCAGCTCAAAAACACGAAGATCGTAAACACACAAGTTAACGCTCAACTTCATCAGCTAAGGTTGATGATGATGATGACGTATTTATATCTGAAGTTCATATTTAAACATATTTGAACATTTTTATCATAACATCATTTCAACACAATAAAATTGAATTATTATCATGTCCAAAGGGAGCAGGAAGAAGCATAAAGCTTTTTTAAATTTCCTGCCCCTTTTCCCATTTGCTCAAAAATCAAAAGGAACAATGTCGTTTGTGTTAATTCATCATGAAATTCTCTATAATCATCATCTATAGTCAAATGTCCCATTTACACCATTCCATACAAAATAGTTCCACATACCTTTTCCATTTACCCACCACACACAGTGATTAACATTCCCTACTACACATACTTACAAACACACCCCATTTTCTTTTATACACCTATATATACAATTATATTAACACCCCCACACCAATCATTGGATCTTGCTGAGTCAACATCCCTCTTCCTCACTGTACCTCATGAAGACCATATTTTGTATCACTTTCTAAACTGGGTCATGCTTGGACATTGCTTTAAAGGGACTTTACAGACTTTAGAATTTTTATGCTCGCGATTGCCCCCTCAGGCCAAAAGCGTAACGGCAGCTTCAATAGTAGGCTTGTGCACGAGGCGCGCATGCTGTACGTGATTGTGGCCTGGAGGACAAACGACAGGAGAACGCGCAGCTAATTAATTAAATAATTTGATTCTGTACCTTTCTCTTCAGCACAGCCGACAAAGGTTTATGATGTGTAAGTCCTCCTGCATGCTCAGATCATTCCCTTCCCTTGCTTGAAAAATTTTTCCAAAATGAAAGTTGAACCCACATCTTTTTTATCTGTGAATTCAATGCCATTCGGCGAGTTTCAAATAAAAATTTGGGTGTCTTACTGTAAAAAAATATGCCATTAATGTAAATAGGAAACTTTTAATAAACTATGTTCACATCCAAAATCGAACCCAGGTCTTCTGCATGAGAGTCAGACATCTTACAAGGTGAGCTACACTCTAGTAACATTCACAGTATTTGTAACTTTTATATCCTTGATGACAGCTGAAACAACGTCAAACCAAAGAACGGTTCGAAGCGAAAATGGCTATTTTGTTGCTAATCTGCAGGAAATATCTAGAAGAAAGTTCTACAGAAAGTAACTAAGTGTCCTCAGAAATGTAGCTAGATTTGTCACTAGGCGTTTGGAACAGCGACAAAGTTGCTGAGTTGGCACTACCTCACTCTCTGCTGCTAAAGCTACGGATAGCAAATGCTACGGGCTATGCCTGAGCGTGAACGTGCATGAAGCAGCCTGCTCGACCCGAGCAGCTCTCTTTTTCTGTGATTTTCCAGAAAAACAGGCAATCACAGTAAAAATGCCAGGGCTCATTCGACAGGACCAGGGCATTGCAGGAGAATGTATGAAGAAGAAATTTGTTATTTCTATACATGTTTTGGCTGTCAAACTTCCATAATGTCTCTTTAAATCACTATGTAATCCATTCCATAATTTTACCCCACAAACAGAGATGCACTGACTTTTTACTGTTGTTTGCACAGATGGGTATTTTAAATTCCATTCCTCTCTGAAAATGACTTACTGATTAGCATCAGTAAGTCATTTTAGGATGTGGTTTTAGGAACATAAGACTCAGGAGATAGTCGGCTATCCCATAATTGGGTTGTCAGTTCAATCCCACCTTATTCCTAGTCATTCTGCCATTCTGTCTCTGCACAAGACACGTCACTCACCTACATATTCAGGTCAATGGTTTTAGATTTTCGGAGATTTTTGGCAAAGCGCAATGAGGTTGCAACATATTTTGTAACAGATGTTGCTGCACATCTGTGAGGACAAAAATGAAGAGTTTCTTCCAGAGTGGGACACTGAACTGAGGCAGTTTCTGGGGGATTTGGCCACGCATGACTTTGGTGTGGTGTCATGCGATGAAAGTATGGTGTTTTTATTGGAGCAATAAACCTTAAGATTGCACAAGCAACTTGAGAATGTTTTCTTTTGCAACTCAAAGATTTTCGGAGGAAGAACCCAGGCTAACAAAGGCAGGCTTTAACTGTCCGACTAAATTTAAATAACCAAGGTAAGGTGCTTCATTCATGTAGAAAGTTCATGTATGAGGAAACCAGTCATGTCAGACTCATGCAGATATTTTTTATTCACAAAATTAAAAACCCACGGAAAATTAAAAATGGGCATGCAGAGGTTAAAATGTGTTAATGAGTTTAGAAATTGTGATAACGTTGTTGGGAGGAGCAGACTCTCCATCAGATCAAGATCCAGCCACGACCCCCTGTAATGCGCTCACGAACCACTAGGGGTATGCGTACCCCTGTTTAGGAATCACTGATCTATGACACCAAGATTTCTAACCTGAGTCTTTGTTTTTATTCCTCTGGCACCAAGTTGAGCAAAAACTTCCATCCTATCCTTTTTTCCAAAGACACTAACTTCAGTCTTGTCTGTGTTTAACTGAAGGAAGTTTGACGGCATCCAGTCATCAACTTTCTCTTTTTTTTTTTTTTTTTTTTTTTTTTTTTTTTTTTTTTTTTTAACGTGTCCTGTCTGGCTGTGAAGCAAGCAGAATTGATGTCTGAATGCTGGTAACAAGCCTTACAGTTTTACTCTCAGGTGGAGCATCAGAGCATCTGCTTTTAATGTCTCAGGTGGAGCATCAAAGAGTCTGCTTTTAATGTCGCACCTGATATTTAAAACTTTATTGTTATTGTTTTTGAATGCTTTGTAATTTCGACCAGACACGGAGACAGAGGTGAAAGAGAAAGGAAAAGAGAAAAGGTGGGGAGAGAGGGGGTTAGGTGGGGGGGGGATTCAACAAAAATAAACAATAATGAACAAGAGTCTGCTTCTAGACCTGCAAAATGAGACGAGAAAAAAGCAAAACATAACAAAAAAATGGGACACAACACCAATATAACAAAATCAAGCTATCACTGCGTCAACTTGATGAAGAAATATATAATCAATCATTGTTTAACTAAACAGTCACACGATAATATACCACAGTGCATTGAGTGCCCACCATAGTCTTAAGACATGTGTTGAACGTGCCCAAGCCCATACTTATGAGAGCACCATGTGAGCACCTGTGTGTGTACACGCGCTTGTTTATGTAAGGTTTATCTATAGGAGCGTCCAATAGAGAGTGTGAGGGACCACAGATCTGCCCCCCAAAGACGCGCAGGAGACGGGGGGGAGCTCCAAGTCCCAGAGATCCAGGCGCTGCCCCAGAACACAGGAACCCCAAGGAGCCCGCAACCAGAAAGGCCCCCGCCCCCCTCGAGAGGCACAGAGGATCGCCCCGGGGGGCCACAACCAGCAGCCGGCAGAGCCCCGGGAGATATCAGCGGCAAGTCCTCAGGCCTGCCCGCAGCCTCCCACCCCCTAGCCGGCCGAGTCCGGGACCCAGCGACCCGGGACCCAGGGGCGACCACCCCCACCGGGGACCCAGCAGAGCCCAGGGACCCAGACCCCCCCAGGCCGCCACCGGGATTGATCAGGCAGATGCCAAAAATCTTAAACTCCCTGACCCGGGATCCACGAACACTCAGGCAGACCAAGGCATCACACCCACACCAGGTGTGACAGGGGGGAGGGGAGACGAAGATCTATATCATCAAAGGAGGTCCCAGGAGAAGGGAGGAGTCAAAGGCCCCACCTGACATATACAGTCATACACAAACACAGTCACACACTCCCTCCCTCATGCTCACACATGCACATACAACCAAAGACTTACAAAAATACACGCCGGACACCCATTCATGCTCCCCATACACACCCTATTCACTCTGGTCCCGGTAATGCTGCACATGGGGTACAACCACCACCGGTTACCAGAGTTTGACCCTTTCTGCTGGGGTGCTGATGAGCAGGCTCCCCCGCCCACCGCCGAGCACAGCAACCCACCACCCCAGACCCCAACCAGACGGCCAGATCTCCCTCCTAGTCTCCAGCCCCAGGCAGCCAAGCAACAACAGAGGTGTGCTAAGACCCCCTGGTCTCCCTCCACCTGCTCCAACATAGTGTTGTGTGTTAATGAGGTGTATTCTATTGCTGTGGTGAGCGGGCAGTGCGGGCATTTTCTGGCCTATGCCAGCTGATGCCACTGCACCACCCTACTTGCACCCACAGCCCTTGGTGTCTAAATGCAGTTTAAAATTCGAAGTGGGCACCGGCACTCGGGAGGAGGCTGAGAACTCCCCCTGCCAAGTGCCGTTGAATGTGCTCACTCCCAAGGCCCTAAGTGTATGTTTGCGTGGAATGTCGTCGGTGGAAGTGCATAAGGTGCAAATAAAATTGGGGGGCGGGAAGCCACAGGAATGCGGAAATGGGGTCCATACCCGCACTCCTCGACTTGTCCACCCCCCAAGGTCCTATGTGCATGTTTGTGTGATGATGTGAGGGAGCAGGAGGAGAGAAATAAACGGGGATGGGGAGGAATGGCTGGTAGGGCTTAGCCCTCCAGGGAGCCA